ACAAGCATCCAATAATATAGGACTCAAGCTTAGACTTTATACTCAACCAGGACCGGCTCTAAATGCCACACAGGGACACAAGCATCCAATATAACAGGACAAATCTCAGACTCTATATTCAACCAGGACAGGTTCTAAATACCACACAGGGACACAAGCATCCAATAATATAGGACTCAAGCTTAGACTCTATATTCAGCCAGGACCAGCTCTAAATGCCACACAGGGACACAAGCATCCAATATAACAGGACAAATCTCAGACTCTATATTCAACCAGGACAGGTTCTAAATACCACACAGGACACAAGCATCCAATATCACAGGACAAATCTCAGACTCTATGTTCAACCAGGACCGGCTCTAAATGCCACACAGGGACACAAGCGACCAATATAACAGGACAAATCTCAGACTCTATATTCAACCAGGACCGGCTCTAAATGTCACACAGAACACAAGCATCCAATAATATAGGAATAACTCTCAGGCTTGTACACAACCCGTATCTTGACTTGTATTAATTCAACGAGGACCCAAGCTATCTTTCAAGCTATATTCGATGCAATACTAAATCAACTAGCAAAGATCTCTGCTCGTATTTTTCAACGAGAACCAAAGCTGTCTTCAAAGCTTATTTAGGCTTCTGATAACGTAATCAAAAGCAGAGTCTCAATCAACTAGCTTTATTCAATAGCTTAGGTTACAATGTGAACAGGAATTGGCGTAATTCAATTCCTACAATGTTATTTATTGTTATGTATTTATCGCACAGTTAAAGTTTAAAGTACGTATTTAAAGGATTAAAGAGAATAGATATAACGCAGTAAGTATTCGATTGAAACGAAGTTTCATTCTGTCAAAGTTTAAAACATTAAATCACTTATGACGTAAACAGCGTTTTGCAAGTTTACAGAATATCATGTTTACACGCTACATATATAAATATATACCTGGGAGTTAGATTGAGGTAGATTGAGAATCTTGTCTTGAAGATACTTCTCCATTTCTTCAACAGCCTGAATAAACATAAAGTTAAGATGTGAATTAAACAGAGTTTTGTACATTTATATATTACAGCTTATACTTTAATATCACAAAAGAAAACAACTGATATGACTGTCTTGTTTTATTATATAGATATAAATAATATATTACCGGACTAGCATCCCTCTCTGAACTGTCATCAACCTTCTGCTTTAACGGAGGACGACCTAGTTTGGATATTTATAAATTCATTGTCAGGGGTGTTTATTTTTAAGAATTATCCCCCCCGCCGATAAAATGATTTCTAAAGATCTAGGAGGAAAACCTGAAAAATTTAAGAAAACTTTATTTTTTCCCCATAAAAATCGAGAGACTGAAGTTTGCAGACACGTATTTAGTCCTCTCCGCTGGCGCGGAGGCCACTGGAGGGAATGCACATTTGTTATTCAATGCTAATTAATCCATCGGAGGAGGGATGGTGATTAACAATCAGCACATTTATTTGTAATTAATCCACCGGAGGGACAGTAATTGACACTCAGGACACTAATTACTCCACTGGAGGGATGGTAGTTAACACTCAGGACACTAATTGCTCCATCGGTGGGATGGTACACACCCAGGACAATAATTACTCTACCGTGGTGTTAATTACCATCCCTCCAATGGAGTAAGTAGTGTCCTGAGTGTTAACTTAATTAGCATTTTCACATGATTTTACAATTTATTGCCTACATAACTGGGGGCCACGATTTTATTATTATAATTGTTAAAATCAAGGTTACGAACCTCTAGGTTTCTTGTTAGTACTCGAGGATGGTCCACTGGCAGTACTCCCACTATCCTCAGATATATTACGTTTACGTCCTCCAGCCTCTTTCTTAGCAGACTTCTTCACACTTTGCTTCCCAGAGATCAGAGCATCAAACTCAGCGTCATCGTCAGCCACCCGGCTATTCGTCTAAATGAACAAGGAACTGTTAGAGCGTAATTTCAAGCGAATCTCCATGAAAGATCAGAATCCCCGATTCTATTGCTTAGGATCCGGATCCGCAAGATTTTGGCTTCCTGGATCCGGGGATCCGGATCCGCAAAAAAACAATGCGGATCCACAGATTATGTTTATTATTTTACGAAAATAATGCTCTCTTAATTTGCCATTGAATGCTGCAATTCATTGAATAACAAATTGATTGTTATATATGTAGCAAATACCTACTCCATAACAATTTTACTCGAGACGTGTCTATCCAAGTCTTACTCGTTACCAAGATCAAACAGGACTAACTCTCCGATCCTAAATGCCAATCAGGCAATATCTTAACCAGACTTAACTCTCCGGTTCTAAAGGACACACAGTCCAAAATCTAAACCAGTCTTTACTCCCTAGTTATGAAAAAGCCACACAGGCTTTTAAAATTGCTAAACAGGCAATTTCTCAACCAGGCTTAACTCCCCGGTTCTAAAGGATACACAGTCCAAATCTCAGACTCTATATTCAACCAGGACCGGCTCTAAATGCCACACAGGGACACAAGCATCCAATATCACAGGACAAATCTCAGACTCTATATTCAACCAGGACCAGCTCTATGTGGCATAACAACAACTCCAGGCCAAGGGGAGAATCCTTTCATCTTGGCCCATACTGGATCCCCGATACGAAACTTAAACTAAATAAATAATAATTAAATTTTTATCAACATAAATTATTTATATAAAAAAAATATGAATAGAGCAATTACAAATTGCAATCGAATAGACTGTAGACGTAACGTCAAGAGAACTTACAAATCGGCATGTTAGTTTCACGCCTATACACTAGTCAAGAGATCCTTTATACTTTCAGATTGGCATGTTAGATTCACAAATATACACTAGTCAAAAGATCCTATATACTTGCAGATTGGCATGTTAGATTCACAAATATACACTAGTCAAGAGATCCTATATACTTGCAGATTGGCATGTTAGATTCACGACTTTACACATTACACAACACATCTTTGATTATCAGACAGTGAGCCGCTCTTTTAAAATAGGGTCTATTGGTATTACGCCTACATTCCCTTTAATCTGGAAGTAAAAAAGTCACTTGTAAATATACCTGTGCTTTCGGCTCAATCAAAGAAAATGATTTTTGGTCACCCCCCCCCCCCTTCATAAAAAATGTATTTGAAATATTTTGTATTAATCCTGGGTAAGGTTAAGACAAACTGGGAGGTCGTGCGCTGCGGCCACAAGTCGTATTTTGTCCATGAACATTTTTGTAATAAAGGTGGGGGTCCTAAAATCCTTCTCTAGAAAATTAGCTTGCCTTCAGCATCAAATAATTTTTTGAAGTAGAATTTAGTTGTAGTATTTCACTCATAACCGAAGACCTTGTTATGGTTTAAAATTTCTTTCAGCCGTTAAAGGGACTGTAATCCGACCCTCCAATGTAAAGATGGCAATGCGTTACTCATAAAGCTTTGTCTGATTAAGTATTACTTAGATATCAAAGTTTATATTTTTGAAAACTGATAATTTTCAATCATTGTTTCTCTACATACAGATGTGACTTGGGCAATTTCCTAGAGAACGACTGGCTTGTACATCCAACTTGGGTCTGTCCTAGAGAACAATTTTTGGGCCCCCCCCCCCCCATAAATTTTGTACGTGACCTTTAATTTTAAGTTATTTTGTATTATTTAGGGTTAGGTTAGGTTAAGAGAATTTCTGGGCCGAGCGCTGCGGCTAGGACATGCCAGGGGTCGAGCGCTGCGGCCACGGTTTAGGTTAATTAAGAAACTTTCTGGGGCGAGCGCTGCGGCTAGGACAGGCTAGGGGCCGAGCGCTGCGGCCACGGGTTAGGCTAAGTTAAGGTACTTTCTGTAAGATCCATGTAAAAAATTGAAAGGAGGGGGGGGGGCCGGGGGGTCCAAAAATCGTTCTCTCGGAAATTACCCAACTATCAACACATTATTGGTAGATCAGATATATGGGCTGCACTGCGATCTCTGTGAATCACGCATTGCCATCTTTACAAGGAGGTTTTCTTGAAATTACACTTTTAGTCCTGTTAATGCCTCTTAAAGCTTAAAAAGAACCATAAATATTAATTACATTAATCAAGCACTTGTCCTTCATCAAGGTGTCCTAAACATTAATTACATTAATCAAGCACTGTCCTTCATCAAGGTGTCCTAAACATTAATTACATTAATCAAGCAATGTCCTTCATCAAGGTGTCCTAAAGATTAAATACATATTTCATCTTTTTCCGTAACATCAATAAAATTATTTATATCTATGATAATTTCAGTTTTCATGGCCAAGCAATAAATTAACTTACTTTGAAAGCTTCATAAGGTTTCATATTATTTTCCTCTATCCACGCAAAATCCTAAAATTTTCCAAATAATGCTTGAAAAAATAAAAAAATAAAAATTGCAATTTTTCAATATCTCACAGTCATTTTCATGAAAAATCATTCGCGCGGTATCTTTATAATTTGCTTAAGTACTATAAAATTACATTTTCCAATGTGCACTTGCTCAAAAAAGATTTGAATAAATAATGGATTTTCATTAAAACTATGTTGAAGATGTTGAAGCATTATTGTTCTGGGTTTCCTTTGTTCCAAAAAAGTTAACGCAATGCATTGTCTTCTTGATTGCAGGACGCTTCACATCATCTTTACATACCAAGATATTCAGATTGATCTATAGTATGAGAAGGAAACAGTGCTATGAAGAGTAAGATCTACAATGTATCCAAATCCTCTCTATGAAAACATGATTAGAAACGTCCCCATCATAAATGAAGAGTCCCTACCATGAAAATAGAAGTTCTAATAATAAAAATGAAGTCCCTTTGATAAATGTGAAGTTACTATGATATATAAAAAGTCCCTATGGTAAATAAAGAAGTCCCTGTAATAAATATACAAGTCCATATGATAAATATGAAGTCCCAGTAATAAATATAGAAGTCCATATGATAAATATGAAGTCCCTATGATAAATAAAGAAACCCTTTGATAAATAAAGAAACCCTTTGATAAATATGAAGTTCCTATGATAAGTAAAAAAGTCCCCATGATAAATATGAAGCCCAATGATAACAAATTAAATATTGAAGTCCCGAAAATAAATAAAGAAGTCCCTATGATAAATATAGAAGTCATGCCTAATCATAAATGAATGAGTCCCAATCATAAGTGAAGAAGTCCCTATAATACATGATGAATATCTATGTACGATGTATGATGAATATCTATGTACGATGTATGATGAATATCTATGTATGATGTATGATGAATATCTATGTATGATGTATGATGAATATCTATGTATGATGTATGATGAATATCTATGTATGATGTATGATGAATATCTATGTATGATGTATGATGAATATCTATGTATGATGTATGATGAATATCTATGTATGATGTATGATGAATATCTATGTATGATGTATGATGAATATCTATGTATGATGTATGATGAATATCTATGTATGATGTATGATGAATATCTATGTATGATGTATGATGAATATCTATGTATGATGTATGATGAATATCTATGTATGATGTATGATGAATATCTATGTATGATGTATGATGAATATCTATGTATGATGTATGATGAATATCTATGTATGATGTATGATGAATATCTATGTATGATGTATGATGAATATCTATNCCCCCCCCCCCCTCTTATCAATTTTGTACATGACCTTTAATTTTAAGTTATTTTGTATTATTTAGGGTTAGGTTAGGTTAAGAGAATTTCTGGGCCGAGCGCTGCGGCTAGGACATGCCAGGGGTCGAGCGCTGCGGCCACGGTTTAGGTTAATTAAGAAACTTTCTGGGGCGAGCGCTGCGGCTAGGACAGGCTAGGGGCCGAGCGCTGCGGCCACGGGTTAGGCTAAGTTAAGGTACTTTCTGTAAGATCCATGTAAAAAATTGAAAGGAGGGGGGGGGGCCAAGGGGTCCAAAAATCGTTCTCTCGGAAATTACCCAACTATCAACACATTATTGGTAGATCAGATATATGGGCTGCACTGCGATCTCTGTGAATCACGCATTGCCATCTTTACAAGGAGGTTTTCTTGAAATTACACTTTTAGTCCTGTTAATGCCTCTTAAAGCTTAAAAAGAACCAAAATGATAATATGTATTCACCTGTTCAGAGGACATCCTGCTCGGCGTTTTACTGAAAATATTTAAGTGTAAAAATTTGATTATTGATAATCTTTCTAATGACTTCCCAACCCGTGAAAACATACATATTTATTATTTCACTAAACTAGATGTACATCGGATATATCTAAATCAAGGTAAAGGCAGAAAAGGACGTATTTTGATCTTAGTAGTATAAATACAAGCGTACTCTTACGCAGACGCTCAAAGTCGGCAGTTGAATAAATGGAGGACGCGGCATTCTATATTTTCCCTGTCGTCTTCGTTAATAGAAAGTGTACTACATCGGCCCTACGGGGTGGATCCGCATTTGAACTACTGCCGTTTGAACTATGGTACGTTTGAACTATTGTTCGTTTGAACTATTGTTCATTTGAACTACTGACATGACGTCATATCCTGTAGTTTAAATCAACGCATTTCTTGCTCATTTGAACTATTTTTCTACCCCAAATCAGTTTTAAAATTTTTTTTATAATCTCCATAAAATTATATTCATGACAATTAATTAGATAAACATTACACAGAATGAACATAAAAATAGTTCAAATGAACATAAAAATAGTTCAAATGAACATAAAAATAGTTCAAATGAACATAAAAATAGTTCAAATGAACNGAAATGACCAAGGCTACTTTTAATCACGTTCAGATAATCATCAATAACAGCTGCAAAATTTACTGGCCCATCGTTAGGAACTAGGAACTTGGTTTCCTTCTTGTCTGAGCGCTGTTTCATCCAGTATGTTCTATGAAGTTCATCCAGGTTTTCTGGCACTAAAAAAGAGATTATTGACACAAGGAGCTCACCAATTTGATTTATATCAATTTTAAGACAATTCTTTTTCAATTTAGTTCTTACCTTTTTTCTATAATCCGGCTTTAAAAGCTCAAGAGCAGATTTGAGAAAAATGATGGATGACATGTTAATGGTACGGAAGCTCTTTCTTGAATGCGAAGTTTCTGAATTTCTATACGAATTTTGTGAAGTTTTCACAAAAATGTTGCGAAGTTTTCACAAACATATTGAGAAATTTAGAAACCCAATTACTATTTTTAGAAATCATTAAATTTGCTTATTAAATATTCTTCCATATGCATTAGTAAGAAATAAGAGAATTAAAATCATAATTGATAGTTTTATTGATTTCATTTTTATTTTATCCCCCACGGTTGGTTATTTCGTTGAACAGGAGATTAAATAATTAATGCACGATAACATTTATTTTAATAAAAGATATAAAAATTCAATTATACTGTTTGTCATTATTCTAAAATCATTAATTTTTATAAAGTTTTCATGTTTTTACATTAATCTGTCGTTATTTTAGCTTTTAAACATGTATCTTCATTCCTCATCTTTTCCATCGTCTTTTCTGCTGTCGTCTTCTTTCTCGTCTTTCTTTTTATTTTCACTTTTCCCTTTCTTTTTTTCATCCTTTTCCTCTTATTGTAGCAACAACAAAATTTAAAATTATTCTTCAAAGATGATTTCTAATCAAAGGATATGGAATTTTACAGATAGCTGTATCGTTTTTGAAAACAAACCAATTCTTAATTAACGATCGGTATCGATCAGAAAATAAATGAACGATCAATAAGCTAAATGGATCGTTCAGAGAAATAAAAATATTATCATTACTTAAAGACGAACAATTTAAACTTGTTAACGATCGTTCTCAATCGATATGAAAATGGAATGGGTTCTTATATTTTTTAGCAGAATTTTATATGATTGGTAAATATCTAAGTTAATTGTTCTACCCTTTGTCTGCTTATCTTTTTTCTCATCCTTCTTTCCTTCTTTTTTCTCATCCTTCTTTCCTTCGTTTTTTTCATCTTTCTTTTCTTCTTTTTCCTCATCCTTCTTTCCTTCTTTTTCCTCATCCTTCTTTTCTTCTTTTTCCTCATCCTTTTTTCCTTCTTTTTTCTCATCCTTCTTTCCTTCTTTTTTCTTTCTACCTCTCTTCTTTTTCCTTCTTTTTCTCTTTTTCCGTTTGTCACTTTTGGATTTTTTTTTCTTTCTTCCAGACCAAAACTTTTTCATCGCTTCTTTGAAAAGGATATATCCGTTGGAACGTTTCTTTTTCTTGTCAAACATCTTTTTTGGACACACCCTAGGATTATCAATATTTTTGGACACACCCTTATAGGATCATTGGTAAATGTCAATATTAGATTTTTTTTCGGTTTTTACCAATATTTATTTAGCTTTTAGGGGACAAAAATTTTAAGAGGTTTGTTTTATTTTTCAAAAATTGTTTTTTCTTAAAAGTTTTTTTTTCACACTATGCAAAATCTTGACTTTGTTAGATTAAATTTCTTTTAAAAACGAACGATTGACTTTGCTTCGTTCAGGTGAATAATATCATCTGTCTTTGAAACAAAATTATTAAACAAAATAAATCTGAAAGAAAATGGGATTTTGAATAACATTTAGGGTTTATCTGGTTTACATACAGATTTTCCCCGGCCTTTTATTATAGAAAAGGTTCCGGAATTCCGAAAGAATTTTCCCCGGCCTTTTATTATAGAAAAGGTTCCGGAATTCCGAAAGAATTTTCCCCCATTATTCGGAAATTTCCTGAACTCTTATACAGAATGTTACGGAATAATGCCAGAGGAAAAACATTCCGAAACGTTTTTCAGGAATGTCGTTTCAGAAAAAACATTAGAAACATTTAAAACTTTGGAAATGTTTTACTTTGCGTAATGGAAACAGAATTTTATTCCGTTTTTTATGTTTACAGAATTAAAAACTGGATTTTGTTCTCCGGAATAATGGAGACCCTAATTATATTAGACTTTTAAAGTTTTTTTTTGTGAAGACTCCTAAAAGCTTAAAGTCTAAAATATTTGAAAAAAAACGTGTTTTAATTATTGAAACTATTAAAAAAAAGACAGTAGAGAGATAAAAGACGACCTTCAAGTCGTCTTGTTACTGGCATGTTTTCAATGTTTCTACAATAATTTCGATTTTACAATACACAACTTTTAATAAATAAAATGTCTGCCTCTTTTTGAAACACCAATCTTGAAAGTGTAAATTCTATAAACTACATAATATTCTATAAATTCACCTTATATTAATATTTTTTCTTTTTTTGCATTTCTCCACTGGTTCTTTAGACTAAAAACTCAAAATCGAATTCAGTTCTAATTGTGTCAAATTAAATGCAGTGCATATATTTTTTTGAAGAGGAGTTTAGCAACTTCTGCCACTTTTCCTTCTAACTCCCTCTATTTCCCCCCTAACTCCCTCTATTTTCCCCCTAACTCCCTCTATTTTCCCCCTAACTCTCTCTATTTTCCCTCTAACTCCCTCTATTTTCCCCCTAACTCCCTCTATTTTTTTCCTCCTAACTCCCTCTATTTTCCCCTTAACTCCATCTTTTTTTTAGAAGATTTTGGTAAAATAAACAGAAATTGACTGCAAAGTTTTTTAACTTTTTACTCACAAAATCCATCATCATTTCAACGTAAAAATCTCCCTCAATCGGGAACCAAATATTTTGAATGTTTTATGAAACTATTGTGTACTTTATCATTCTTCCTCACTTCATCGTGAATTTCATAATGAACGTTCTATAAAGTAATCATCGTGCTGTAAAGTCAAATTAGCTGTACATTATAATAAAGTTATGATTAATTCCCGGATTTTCAAAATGTTTTTTTTTTCAATTGAAATGAAAATAAAATTGAAATCAACTTTATATCTTGACTTTTGCTTTGTTTCAAAGCTTATTTGATCTAGAAATAGCCATTGAAATAAGACAAGTGCTCAAACGTTTCATAAAATTACCTATAACACTATTATTTTGGCACAACGTGTGACATAAAGTTTTTGGATTTAAATTTTCTCTATATCTTGAAGGTACTTGCATTTTTAGATTATATTTTGACCCTCGCTAAAGCGCTGGACAAAATTAAATCTAAAAAGGCTTGAACCTTCTGGACAAAGAGAAAAATTTTTCCAAAAACTTTAAAATACTGCGAACCAAAATAACAGTGTTATAAATAGTTTTCTATTTATACCTCATACACTTTACTGCTTGTTATATCTTCGGCCTCTGAAAAAAAAGTAATAGAAATTTTCAGTGTAGCCTTTAATGGACGTGACTCTTTACTCATAATAGATTGTGGATATTTACAACAGTACCCTTGAAGTTGATAGGTTGTGTTAATGTCACTTGCGGATTTTTGTTTCAGAAACAATGTAGGAAAATAAAAATGATTTACACTAAAGCAACGATAATTTTTAATGTTGCGTCTCTTTATTGATGTGTTTTACCATACACATATATATTATATAGAAATTGGGAATGTTACAGAAAATCTTTTCTTAGAAAGGAAATTATACTGATTGGGCAAAAACCATCTTTTCCTTCTTTACAACAATATTGGTTATTTTGGGGGGTTTTTTTACATCAAATGAAATGTCTTTTTTTCGGTTTTATATCTCTTTTTGTTTGTTTTTACTGTTCTTATATTCATATAGATGAAAAGTCATTCCATTGCAACTAAGTTTGCAAATAAACTCTTATTTACCTATTGCAGTTTTACTCAAGTTCGCAATTTTAATTTAAAGATGAAAAGTCTGCAACTAAGCTTGCAAAATTATTTGATAATGTTTTTGATTAGACCACAATCATTGGAGAGCTCTGGGAAAAGCAGCTCATTACAGCAATAGATACGAAGATATAATGAGAGAATTTTTCTCTCCACTTTTATGCAAATGAGATATACAATTGTTGATTAAGATTTCTTCTTTCAGTATTGAATAAAGTTGTTAAGAAGAATTTCCTAAAGGAAATATCTACGCTACTATACAGTGAGAATCAGAAATCTGTGTAATAGAAAGAATAGAAAGAAGACTTTTGGACTCAAGTTCTGATTTAAAATAGCCCATTTAATCCGAGACACAGTGATTGTGCAGTTGCACGAGCGGGGGAAGGCAGGCGGCCATGAGCCACCACTATTTCCCCTTCCGTGCCACCACATTTGACTCTTCCGGGCAAAACTACTTTTTTAAATGGTATATTTAGGGCCTTTAAAGTGTGATTTAAAAAAATCCAGCCGCGTCACGCAAAAAAGCACAAATCAAACCATTTTTTCAATTCTACTGAAGATTAATATTTTGTGTTTTACAATGAAATTTTTGACAAATTTGACTGAGTATTGCATCTTGAAATATCACAAAGTCTAATGATTATTCAATTATTGACTCATTATACTAAATCCATCTTAAAATCACTCATTAACCAACTTTGTGATATTTCAAGATGCAATACTCAGTCAAATTTGTCAAAAATTTCAGTAGCTTCAAAATCAACTTAAAAAGTGAAATTTTATCTGGTTCGTTTAATCTACAGTGAAACCCTTAATAACGAATACATCGGAAGAATTTATCAAATGTCATTTTGACAATTTTTCAATGAGTTTTATACTGTATTACGTAAATTTCAGTATTTGCGAAAATAAATAAATATCCATGAATATTCGGGAACAGTTTTAAAGAGTTCCATATAATCATTTAATTAAAAAACTAAATATCTGCAACATTCCATTATCAGAAAGTGAAGAATACGACATTTGATGAATTCTTTCGACGTATTCGTTATTAAGGGTTTCCCTGTATTGTCTGCAATTATTAATATACAAAATGTCCGCCTCTTAAATTTAAGTATTCCAAAAAAAAATTTATAAGTCTATTACCCAGCTTGCAGAAAGTATCTCTGTCATGTGCAAACATGAAATCCTTAGTACTTGTGTAGAACAAACCAATTTCCTAAATTAAGAAAAAGGTAAATAAAATTATTTATTAACATTTCACCTAAAAAATACAGTGCCTTTAACGCGAACTGGCCAACGTTTTGTTTGATGTTATTTTTGATGATTTCTGAAATATCTTTATAACTATAACCGTCGTTATTATAATTGAGATGGTTAACGATCGGTAACTTTTCGTTCTTAGCTAAATAACAAACGGCTTCATGAAGAGTTTTTGTTTAACGATTTTAACTTACCTTTAACGAAAGTCTGAATGTGCCCAGCCCTAACTCATACACATGTCAGACCGAAGTGTATTCAAGCTTTCTGAACGTTTTCGAAACTGATCAAGTTACTGAGTAGTGAGTATAATTAACTTACCGAACATGTATCTAGCATCATGCACAACGTTCCTCTTACACCGAGTCTCTAAAAAAAGTTTCAAAAATAAGTTTTGTACGTATAAGCCAGAACCAGCAAACTATGCAATAGAAAGTTATGATTAAATGTTCCAATAAACATGTATTGCACACTGCACAGCAATCATGTGCACAGGCCTATTTAACTTAATAAGAGATTTAATAAGTTAAACTATAGTAAAAATATTGGCTATATAACAACATCAAATACACTTTAGTATTTCTTTAAAGTCGTCTTTCTATTCCAGAGTTTTCTAGTTCTCTCATGTCATGTATAGTTATAACCAATAAAAAGCGAAGGAATTGCCGTCTACACTAAATCTTGAAATATTGAATACGATTTTAAGCGGAACCAACCATATTTGAGCCGTGGCTTGAATTAAAGCCGAGGCTCAATTAAGTTCTTTAAATTCAGTCTCTGGTTATTAAGTCCATGAGCCATATTTTCATCCATTATATGAGAATTTTTAGTATTTGCTATTTAGGCCTTAGTGTGGGACTATATATTTTTAATATTAAAGTATATATAAAGTCATTTTAGCTATTTTTGACGGATTATGAATAGTAGAGATGAAAATATAACTGAAAATAAGTCGATTGTACAGGATTACATATATGATTATTAATTTTGATTTTAGTCTGTCCTAGTGAAGGATTTTTGGAACCCCCCCCCACCACCCCTCCTATCAATTTTGTACATGACGAAATTAGTAAATAGTATTTATTTATTATTATTTAGGGTTAGGTTAGGTTAAGAGACTTTCTGGGCCGAGCGCTGCGACTAAGATAGGCTAGGGGGTCGAGCGCTGCGGCCACGGGTTAGGTTAGTTAAGACACTTTCTGGGCCGAGCGCTGCGGCTAGGACAGGCTAGGAGGCCGAGCGCTGCGGCCGTACATGGTCAAATTATAACCATGTCTAACATAACAGATCCATGTACAAAATTGATAGGAGGGGGGGGGCTGGGGGGGCGGGGGTCCAAAAATCTTTCTCTAGGAATATACCCACAAATTTGCAATATTATTCGATCTTTTTAAATGTTCTATTTAGTCTCGAGAATCCCAATTTAAAGTATGGTAAGACACTCTTTCCTTCTTATAGATTAATGTACGTCTATTGTTCAATAATAAGTGAAAAAGACAAAAATTTATTTTTTATTGTTTTTACTGAAATTTAATTGTTTAAATAAAAAATGTTAAACTGTCCATAAAAGTATAAGCTTATGAGTCAACATTTTTAATACGTAGTAAATAATTACAACGTGTTATGGTAGAGTGTTTTAAGAAGCATGGTATATCAATTCACAGAGGAGATGGCTTCTAAAACAATTGATATAAATGAGATATTATAGTTTTCTCGATAAATTGATGAAATGGTTTTTGCAAGAACCAATAGAGGAAATTGTCATTGTTCAACACTTATTCATTGTTACAGGGTTAAATAGTAACGTTGTGAATCGGAGGAGCGGGGAAAGGCAGGTGGCCATAAGCGAAAACATTTTGCCCTTCCATGCCACATATTGTCTTTTGGCAGCCGTTAGCCAGAACATGCCAAATATTGTCTTATATAATCAGAGGAGCGAGGAAAGGCAGGTGGCCATAAGCCACAACATTTTCCCTTTCCATGCCGCATATTGTCTTTTGGCAGCCGTGAGCCAGAACCGTACGATCTTCCATGCCACAACATTTGAATCTTTCGGCAGTTATTTCGTTTTTGAATGATAAATTTTGGGTATTGAAATTGCAATGATACCTTTACTAAATTTTAGAAGATTATTAAAGATCAATGAATTGTGTGTTCAGTTTATAATTAACTGCTTCACATTTTACAAAGAAAATTTTACATCATTTTATGCATGGTGGGCATGCAGAGATAAATTGTTTGGGGTAGTCTAAAGAATAAGAAAAGATGAGAAAAATCACAATATTAACTGTTATTACCTGAGCAGATTTCCTCAAAAAATTCGATTTTGCAATTTTCTCGTTAAATGCGCCCTTTGAACTTTAAGAGCATGTTATGGTGCAAACTTTTTATTGATCATAATGTTTTCAATTTTTTTTTTTTTGAGAAAAAGAGTTTTAGCAATTAAACTTAAATTATTTCAATTTAAAACTTAATTATAAAGTTCTTTATATATATCTTTTGCATGACATCAGTGGAATTTTGAAATTCAAAGCACTAAATTTATTATTTAAAAACGTAATAACTGCCGGAAGACTCAAATGTCCTCCCCGCTCATCAGAGAGTCATTTGAAATTACAGAGAACTAAATATTTACCAAATCTTTTTTTTCTGAAATAAATCGTTGAGATTCTGCCTCTATTATAGATATTCCTCCCAGGGGGTTAACTCAGCAAACAAATGTTTAACGTACAGCTATGTACAGCTGTGTACAGCTATGTACAGCTCTGTACAGCCATGTACAGATGTACAGCTATGTACAGATGAATAGCTATGTACAGATGTACAGCTATGCACAGATGTACAACTATGTACAGACGTACAGCTATGTACAGATGTACAGCTAGGTACAGATGTACAGCTATGTACAGATGTACAGCTATGTACAGATGTACAGCTATGTACAGATGTAAAGCTATTTACAGATGTACAGCTATGTAAAAATATATAGCTATGTAAAAGCATGGATGGACCTATATATAACCTATATACACCTATCTATATATGTACATTATACGTACTACGTACAGAAAACTACAACAATGGATCTTATTGACACAAATCACTCTCAAGTATTTTTGTTAAAAGCGATAAGATTTGAAAAATTAGGTTGTTCAAAAAGTAAAACAAAATAAATAAAAGGTATGTTTTAAAGTATTTAAGAAATCAATCGATACATTTACTTCAAACTAGCAACGATAATTAATCGCTGGATATACTTTACAAATCATTTGTTTGCCTAAAGGGGTTTTAAACTTGAGATTTACCATGCCTGAGAATGGTTCCTAAACAAACATTTCACTTTAAAGAGACTGTGACCGTTATTTCAAGTGACCCTCCATTTATAGGATGAAATGTACGATTCATACAATTTCTTGCACATTAAATCCGCAATCACATTTACAGAACAGAATGAATTGAAAATTATCAATCGTCAGCTAGAAAATTTGTGAAATGTCATTCATCAGACAAAGATTTGATTGGTACCGTTGTGAATTTGACATGGCACTCTTAAAATGGAGGGCTACTTGAAATTGCAACTACACTCTATGGTCTATTTAATTCTTAAAGGTGTATCAAAAACTTAATTTAAATCTATTTATTAGTTTGAATAAGTTAAAAGATAAAATGATAAAATTGATTTTTGAGTAGATACATGGGTGTTAGGTACTTTCCCAAAGGCATTTTCCCAAGGGCGACTTCCTAATTGACAATATCACAAGTGGCAACTTCCAAAATGTGCAATTTCCCAAGCGGCAACTTTCCAAAGGTTTGGTTAGGCCCTGTGAGGCGCTGCCGGCTGAAATGGTGGCCGCGCGCTGCAGCAGGATGGGCTAGGGGGCCAAGCGCCGCAGCTTGAACAGGCTGGGGGCCGAGCGCTGCGACTAGGACAGACTTGGGAAGTTGCCGCTTGGAAAATTGCGCATTTGGGAAGTAGCCACTTGGGAAAAATCGTTTGGGAAAGAAAGAAATAAAATTAGAAAAAAAACCTTATTAATTTAGCTTTAATTCCACAGTATGCAGTACAAATTTTAAAAATAAAAATAAAATTGATTAAAAATTAAAATGTTAAATCCTACCAAATATGAGCAAAGGTGAACATTTGTTGCAATTTGACATTTTCTCCAGTCCTTGGTGCAAATAGCCGAATAGGAACTAATTGAGCAGAGTTAAATCAGTTGGATGAAATTTATATATATATATATATAGATTTTTAATCCCCCAAAATCATTTTAAAACATTTTTTTTGGAAAACATTAAATTTAAACATTTAAAATGTACTGTCTATAAACTGGAGAAGAGTTGAAAAAAAGATTTATATTTATTATATCGTAAGCGATATTTTGTATTAAAAATCGGAAAATGGCGTTAATTCCACTTTTCTGGCAATAATCTCGCGAGAAGGAGATAATTATTTGGTGCCCATCTGTCTAGTTGTTCCATGATTGCATACTGTACAATTTGCTCTAGCTCTGCTTAAAATTCAGCCCGGTACTTCAAAATTAACCGGAGTAGTTTGTGACTGTATACTCAAACACAAACACAAAGCCAACAGAAGGGCCCGTAGAAGTTTTTTTTTTATTATTTGAATTTTTGTCAGCCTTTTACACGGCTATCCATGAGTGTACACAAAAAAGTTTCAGCCCCATCGGTCCAGCCGTTTAGCCGTCTATGGGCAACATATATACGAATGTCTAGTTTTATTATATAGATGGAAAATAAACTTAATCATAAAATTTACCTCAAATTCAGTTCTCTATCAACTGTTTCAAATTTTCTCAGATTCCATCTAAAATTAAACGTTCTGATAAAAATAAACCCGCCTTTTTATTAATTAATTTTAATCTTCGCTTGTCTGTCTGTCTGTTTATGGATGATCAAAATTCCATAAGTTATGCCTCCAACACAATTCTATTTTCATTAAATTTTTAAAATCCACGACATTTTTTATAAAATCCACGAACCTTTTTTATATTTTTGCAATGTACAAAGAGAAAATGTCCACAACTGAAATAGAAGATGCACGCGAAGCGCCCTGAACGCCTAATCTGTTTATACTTACTCTGCCATGCAACATTTAAAAATTCCATTTTTTCTCCGACAATCTTGTGCAAAACTATCTTTGTCTGCTTTTTCGCAATCAAGCAGTGCCTGCAAAATTTAGTGCTTCAGTGATAACCACTTAATTTACGCCCCTGGACAAATTCCTGATTACGCCCCTGAATTGGACGATTCAAAGGGCATTTGCCATTTTCTGTTGTGCGCACATGCCCCGTAAAAATAACAGAGAGAGGGGATTGAATTTTGTATATCCAGAAAAATAATTAAATTAGTATTTATTTAGGGTTAGGTTAGGTTAAGACACTTTCTTGGCCGAGTGCTGCAGCTAGGACAGACTAGGGGGCCAAGCGCTGCGGCTATGGGTTAGGTTAAGTTATGACACTTTCTGTGTCACTTGATGCTGCCACATTTCTTACATTTAAGACCCCACCAGCTGTCAGTCTCTACGCAGGCATCCCACAGATATTATTTTTCTGGATCTACAAAATTCCCCTCTCTGGGTTTTGAAATTTTACGGGGCATGTGCGCACAACAGAAAATGGCAAATGCCCTTTAAATAGTCCAATTCAGGGGCGTAATCAGGAATTTGTCCAGGGGGGGGGCTGAAAACACCCTGAAATCCATAGATTTCACTGTTCAAGAGGGGGGGGCTTAGCCCCCATAGCCCCCTGACTACGCCTCTGGTTCAATTAATATGAGATACAGCACATGTGCAGGGCAAACAGACCCCACTTAATAAGTTGATTTTCAACCTACTGCTAAACTATTAGCTCTGTTTTTTTAATAGAAAAGATGGAAATAAAAATATAAAAAGATTATAAAATCTAAAAAAAGAATTATTTTAATATATGCCAAAAAATACATATAATAAAAGGGTTTCTTAAAGGGACTGTAAAGGAAAAATGAAAGGGGGTATAGGCTGAAAGCTAATCACTTTAGCTGTTGATCGCGACCTATGAAAGTTTTATCTAATGTTCCTGCCTCGAGAAATTGATATAAAACTGTGTCAAAATTATACGAAAATTCATATGTGTAAAATTTAGAAAATCTTAAACTTAAATCACGTGACCAGAATTATCACCAATGGCAGAGCAGTATACTGGTGACGTGTCTCCGCCTGTATCACGTGACCAATATACTGCACTGCCATTGGTGGATTATCTGGTCAAGTAATACAGACGTATAAATAATATTATGCATTAAATCTATTAAAAATAGAAATAATAAATATAAAATTAGAATTGGAGTAAGCCTAAGTTACAATTAGCTTTCTCTGGGATATCAACGCTTTCAGATTGGTTGCTTATTTGCTGAATTTGATCTATCTAAACCCACTACTTTCATACAAAATTGTATATATATTAATTTTCGTATAAATTTGATAAAGTTGTATATCAATTTCTTGAGATAGGAACATTAGATATAACTTTCATGGGTCGCGATCGAGAGCTAAAGTGATTAGCTTTCAGCCTATACCCCCTTTCATTTTTCCTTTACAGTCCCTTTAATTGATGAAAAATGATTTATTCGGAAGATAATAATTAAGTTTCTAGCGGAACAAGAATTGAGATTTTAAAACATAGAGTAATATTACTCTATATTTTAAAAGCGTAAACCCGAGTAAAACCCTGTCTTTGCGTCTGCTTAGACCCAAGTAAAGCTCAAGCCTAGACTCGATATTTTCGCTTGACTTGAGCTTTTGTAGAACCGATCGAGTTGGTTTTTCATTTATTCTTTTTTAAGATCTAAATATTTATTAACTATGTCATGTTATATGTTTGAATTATTCATTATCACAGAAAACAAATAGATTTTTAAATTACAAACATTACATAGGATTTTTAGTAAAATCACGAGCAATCTCGACCCTAATATTTTCTTCTATTTTTAGCTCTTTCTGGAAAGAAAATTCCACATTAAGTGTAGTTGACCAGGGTTCATCAGGAAAAAGTTCTGTGTTGTCTAGGATGGTTTTAGCCTCAAGTGCATTTTCAGCTGATTTGAATTCTACCAGGGCATGATACACCCTGTATCTTTCGATCATAACTATTTTGTTTATTTCACCATGAGGTTTACAGATTTGGTAAATAAAGGAAGTGTCGATATCAAATGGAGTGAATTCATATCCTTCAGGAATAGTTAGAAATAAAATAGGATTTAGGTTTCTGTTCACTGAGGATGTCGGATGGGTTGAATCGTGGATAGTAGGTAAGGAGGATACATTTTCATGTGTATCTAGGGAAGAAGGTTCAGTTTCAGGGTGTTCAGGTGTAGCCGAATTTCCACCATCTATTTGAGGTATTTGAGTAGGGCTAGGACTAACAGGGTTTGGCTGTGGGGTTTTATTCCTCTGGGGGCTAGACACGGACTGCACATTCTGTACTTTAGAACAGGGGGTCACATTAGCCTTATATACAGCAGGACTCTTAAAACTTTTTACTGTTTTCACCACCTCAGAATAAGTAGGGTTCACGGGCCTCTCAAGGTTTAATGGCCTCAGTTCAGTTGTTGTCTTGTCAAAAAAAGGGGCCCTTTTGCGACCTTCCTCACAAACTGGGGTCTCCCTAGATCTCGCTTCTCTGTCAGGGGTTCCAAGAGCCTTTTTTCTCCTCATTCTCCTCTTCCAAGACTGGGACTGTGTCTGGGGTCCAGGGGTTCTGGAAAATGAGAAGTACTCATTTCCTCCTTTACTCCACAGGTTCAACTTGACCTCCAGGCCAGCTTTCACACAGTCCTGGTATACACCCAGGATACGCTCAGTTATATTCATTGTATGATGATTTGAAGACTGAAGAAGATACCTGGTCCCGCCATTTGATTCAGCTGATGGGGGGCCAACAGGGTAAGGAAGGGTTAAGGTCCTCACAGCTCAGTGTCGGGGGTGGAACTGTATGTGTCGGGGGTGGAACTGAACTGTCGGGGGTGGAACTGAATTTTCATTTATTCTGATGGATCATAAAACTGAAGAATAATAAATCAAGGCTAAAATTATGGATTTAAATACATTGTAAAGACAAATACATTGTTGACGACTGTTAGAAAGTTACTTAACTTCAGATTTTATTTCGATGCACTTTGCGCAGATTTACAGGGTTACCCGCAAAGGATGAGACTGTAAATACGACTTGAAACTCTTCTACTATGACGATCCCAGGCTTAAATTAAATCTTCTGCCTTGAATGTAGTCTTGGCTTATTTATTGATTTGACTAAGAAAGAAAGAAGTTTAAAGTTGCGAGGAATCATGAATATAAGGAAACGTTCAGTATAAATTCGTACAGTCGTCTCTGAAGTCTCATCCTTTGAGGGTAAGTTTTAAGTTCCAGTGATAACCAGAGCACAGTGGAATAGGAAGACGACATTTTATCAGTAATTAGGAGTAATTGATAAAGTTGCTAAGCAAATAAATTTTCTAGACAGTTATTTTATCAATAATTTTCCACTGCACAATTGCTGTTTTTTTATGCTCTGTGGTCTTTTTACAGGTGAATTTGATTATAAAAGTCGTCTTTCTATTTCAGAGTTTTCTGGTTATCACTGTATTTAAAGTAAAACTGTTTGCTTAATAACAAAATCAAATGAACATTCCCCAGTTTTACGGGTCCCACTGTATACAAGTTAAATTTTCATTTGGATATAAACAATATGTTTTTATTGCAACTTACCTTACTACTATCATCTAGATACGAGGCATGATCAAAACCATAGGTTTCTTTCCAGTTTTTCTCCAGTTCATCGCCAACCATTAGTTTTAATACTTCAGGGTCAGCAAAGTTTAAAAATCTCTTGTCAAAAGGGTAGGTAGGTACCTAAAATGGACATGTAGGAACCTAAAATGGACATGTAGGCACCTAAAATGGACATGTAGGTACCTAAAATGGACATGTAGGCACCTAAAATGGACATTTATTGTAGGTACAAAGTATTATGTACAGTAAGAAGCAGAAACTGTGGAATAGGAAGACGACATTTATACATATTTAGGTGTATTTGATGTACCTAAAATGAACATGTAGGAACCTAAAATGGAAATGTAGGAACCTAAAATGTAAATGTAGGAATATAAAATGGACATGTAGAAACCTAAAATGGACATGTAGGCACCTGAAATGGACATGTAGGCACCAAAAAAGGACATCTAGGCACCTAAAATGGACTAACATTTTCCCTTATAGTATAATGAAAAATTCAACGTTGCAGAAATGGGTTATTATTTTAATAATAAGGAAACGAAAGTTTTTTTACAGAGTAAAATTTCAATAATGTAACGTATAACATTTAAAAAAATGTAATTCTGTAAATAAAACGTTTCAAAACTTTTCTCTGAATACTAAATTGATTAGTCTAACGTTGATTATATGTCTGATGAAAATGTTGTTCATAAAACGTTAGACTATGAGGGCTGAGTTTTAATTTCAAAAGCGTAACAATAATTCTGTCAATCAAAACATTTCAAGTTTAAAGAAAATGAGTACATGCCAAAAACTTTAATTTTTATTTAATTTATCTTTGCAACCCGATGTCGTAGACCATTGATATTGAAATATACAAGGCTTAAACCATCGGGTTAGAAAGATATAGGGATTAGTGAATTTGAAAAAAAAAACTTAGTTTCTTTCCAAAGTGTAAACGAGTTTTTTTGTAACATGCTTTTTAGTAAAAATTCAAATCTTATAAATGTTTCTTGGACAATAAAGGTTTTGATTTGCCATTGTTTGATGAAACCTACTAAAACTCTGGAAAAGGAATACGAAATTAAGAAATTTTACATATGCATTTTCTGTTATAAAGCAAATGATTTACTAATTGCAAAAAAAATTCAACTTATTAAGTGGAACGGGTCTGTGAACAAACACAATTGCTGTGTTTCATGTTTATTCGACTACTTGAAATCATAACTTCAGTTGGCATGGTTCATGTTATAGGTTGAAAAATTTAGAAATTTAGATATCTTACTAAAATGCAACAATATTTTATCAAATGGAAAATGCGTGTTATGTTTTATTCATCAATATATTTTTATAAAACTTTAGAATAGAAAAAAAACTGATTTTTTTAAAAAGAAAAAAATGTTAAATAATTTTATTTCGCGTCGTTTGTGTTAAAAAAAAAAATTAGCACTTCTCTCACTATATTTGATATGTTTAACCCCAAACATGAACTCTGAAAACATTTTCATTGTGGTTTGAAAACTAAAGCTAATGCCGTTTTTTTTACTCACTTTGTAAGTAACATAAAAAAAACACAAAAAGAACTAAAAATTCGCCACAAATTATAATCTTTGCAACCTAGTATTGTAGACTTTTGATATTTCAAGCTATGACTTCTGTTAGATAAGAATGTCTAAAGAAATTGCAAGTTGTTCACAAACTTATATTTCTAATCCCTATATCTTTGCTACCCAATGTTGTAGACCTTAGATATTTTAAACTATGAATTCTGTTAGATAGAAGAAAAGGGTCAGTCTGCATTGCGTAAAAAAAGAAAAAAAATAACCTTAAACTAAACTAAAATAATTTAGAACTACTGCTCCACATGCAAAAGTGGTTTGCCTTGCCGAATTTTAACTCATTTTATGAAGTGTCCAAAAACATGTCTATTTTTTTAAGCTCGTCAAATACACGATGATAATTTCAAGTGATCCATCATTTAAAGAGGGCCATGCTCGATTCCCAATGATAACGTGTATACCTTTATCTGATAGATGATTTGAAAATTAGGAGTGTTTTCCTGTCTTGTATCTTACAAAAAATAAATCGGATACATCATTTTCTTGGAAATGTAATGCTGAATTCAGATTCGAAAACCATTTTTAAATATATTAAAATCTAAAGAAGTTATGGCCAAATAACGGTACTAAATTCCGGGTTTAAAACTTTTTAATTTTTTGATGAGTTTTTTAGCTCTGACTCTCTCAATTTTCAATTTTTTTAAATGCTTTTCAGAATTGAATTTCCAAGAAAATGACATGAAAATAAAAAATAAAATTTTTTTTGTGGCCTTACGGTGAAAACGGAGCGACTTCCGGTGGGCGGTTGGCTCTATTCCAATATTGATCACCCCACTGGACAATGGACATGCCACTCCATAAATGGAGGGTCACTTGAAATTACGCCTCTAGTCCCTTTAAGACACACTTTGAGTTGAAATTCTAATGCTAAAAACTTTCATTTACAAATTTTAAAAATCGTTAAACATTATAATATTATAACATCTTTATATTGCATAATGCATATTCTTCAGCACATTCTCTAAAAAGGTTAACAATACACCAGCAACATACAGGGTGAGTAAAAATTTGTAATTATCACGGAAAAAATCTTTTAATGCTTTTATTTAGAAACAGTATTATTTTAATAAAGTGTAACGTTAGAAACATTAAGACTTGAACATTTTAATACAACGCAACGTATAGAACATTTTTTCAAATCTTTCTTAGAAACGAAACGAATAAACAGTTTTGATTGTCAGTTGTAAAAAAGTGTTACAAAAAAGTTTTCACAATAACGTTTCGATAAATCGTAACGTAAGAAAAGGTGCATTTTAGTAAAATTTCTAAACGTAATTAAAAGAGTTTATATTGGAAAAGTTAAGATAAAACGTAACGTTAACAAAAAATATTCTTTGCACTGAAATGCATTGTAACGTACAGAACTATGCCCCAATGACGTTTTATTAAAGCAAAACGTTTGTCATCTTTTAGATCTTACACCTAGTGAAAGTGTAACGTAAGGTCTCTGAAAATATTTACCTTGCATGAAAGTGGAACGTTAAAAAATTGTGGTTATATTACATAAGCTTTAACGCAACGTTGGGAAAGATTTTTAAAACATCAAATGCAAAAGCGTAACGGAGCTTACTGTTTTTCAATAACATTTACTAAAGCTTAACGTTGTATAAGGTATTCAAGTGCAGAAAATCCATTACGTAACGTTACTCTATACCATAAAATTTCATAATGTGCAACGTAACGTTTCAAACGTTAATACTTTTGACGAACACTATCGTAACGAAAGCTAAAATCTAGAAAAATCAAAACGTTGACATCTCTAGTAGGTACCCAATATGGATTGGACATGTAGGCACCTAAAATGGACTGGACATGTATAGGCACCTAAAATGGACATATAAGAACCTAAAATGGACATGTAGGTACCCAATATGGACATGTAGAAACCTAAATTGGACACATAGGCACCTGAAATAGACATGTAGGCACCAAAAATGGACATTTATTGTAGGTACAAGGTATTATGTACAGTAAGAACCAGAAAACTGTGGAATAGGAAGGCGACATTTTTACAGTATTTAAGTGTATTGATGTTGTTACAAACAGATTAATGGTAGATTAAGAATCACGTATTAATTAAAATGGTTCTGTTTAGACTGCATGAGTGCATTGTATCATGTTCATTAAACAATTTAAAATCATGATTTGAGTAAAGAATTCGTTTTCATATTCTACATTTTTCTGGTTCTCTCTGTATCAAATAATAAGTAAATATCTACCTGTTCCAAATTTCTCTAGGGTTAGGAAGGAAAACAGTTTATCGTATTTGAAGGGAAAGATAAGATATTTTGTGTTAGAAGGAATCATATCTAGGGTTACCCACAAAGATCAAGTCAAGACTCAAAGACGACTGTACGGATTTTATAATGTCTGTTTCCTTACATTTCCAATGCTCAGCAACTGTAAACTTTGGCAAATTATTCTATAAACCAATTAAAGACTACTTTCAAGGCAAAAAAAAATTAATTTAACCTTGTGCAAATTATATGAGTTTCAGGTCGTCTTTACAGTCTCATCTTTTTAAACTAGACAGACAAAAAAGAAAAGTATGTCTGTAGAAGAAACTGTTTATTCCTGTGTGACGGCTGCTTCAAAGAAATTCGGGTCATATGTTCCCCACTTTGTTGGATCTTTCTCACTTGTCGGGTTCAAACATCTGAACATAAAATATCTAAATTATACAAAAATATTTTTGGTAAACCAGCATGGGGACCCATCCTTGCCTAGTTTAAAACTTTCGTTATAACAGTTAACCCACTCAACTTAGACATTTTAACCCAAGCTAAGAACAATAACATTCCCTGGTTTTACCAGTCCCCCAATTAAAATATGAGGCCATTCCGTCCAGGGTTCCAAGAGATATGATTGTAAAAAAAATCATCAAAATAGAGATTACTAATTTAGATTTATAGATTCACGGGAAGTAGAGGAAGCCAGGACTCATACAAGTAAATCTGCAAACTTTCTTATAAACGTTTTAATTTTTATCTTTTGTCAGAAACCCATATTTTGCTCACTGTAAAAAAGCAAACTTGAAGAGCTCGCAATTTTAAAACATGAAAAATATCTCATATTCTTATAAACTTTACTTATAAAAAACTTTAAAGTTTAAAGGGGGATGGTCGACATAATTTTAAATGCTACGGTCCTATTTCATGCCCTGCAAGTTTCAGTAAAATTTTAAGAGATTACAACGCCACTTTCCCTATACATAGAAAACTAGAGTCTATTCAAGATCCGAATGTTTCATTCTGAAAATTTACTATTGGGTTTCTTTTTAATCACTAACCAGGAGCTGCTTGCGGATTTATGCAGCATGATTAACAAAGAAGAAAATTAGCAGAATTTAACAGAAGTTTAAAAGGTACCGTGGTGAATCGGTCATACGTAACTCTTTAATTAGGGGTCACTTGAAAATACGTCAACAGCCTCTTTAAAAACACGAGAACCATTCCCACCTACAGTATGACCCACATAACTGTGAAAGAGGAAGACGACTGTTTGCCTCAAGTTTTATTTTTTAAAGTCCAATGAACAGGAAACACCGCAATTGTGCAGTGCGATTTTCAAGCTAATGGTAAAGTACCTATAGTCTGCTTCTCCATAAGCAGGATTCGTGAGATAGAATAGTTCGCCTGCCTGCTGTATTCCTTTATCCTCACTCACATCTACACTAGCATTCTTCTTAATAGTTTCATCGTAATAGGAGAACACGGTGTGAGTTTCTGAAAAAATAATACCTTAGAATGAGGTCTTTGTTGAGTATTTTAGATACAGGGTTACCTACAAAATATGAGACCTTAGAGACGACTGAACGAAGACTTTATTGTCTTTTCAATTGTCAATTGTAGACTTTTTTTGTCAAATCATTAAATATGCAATTAAAAGACTATATTCTAGGCAGAAGAATTAAATTAACCTTAGAATTGTAATATTTGAAGAGCATAAGGTCGTCTTTTTAGTCTCATTGTTTGTAGGTGACCCTGTAGAGACATCTATAATGATTGTGTAATTTTTAACCTTTAAGTCTAGCTAATAAATGGGTCTCAGCTGTGAACTATTATATTATTGAGATTAAAGTTGATAACCATTTTTTCCACACTTTTGGGGATTCATTTCATCTTTCTCACATGGTCATACTCTGCAGAGATAACGTTAATTAAGGGAGAAGGGTTGAAGCATTTATCATCAAATTAAAAATGCCCACATTGGATATCCAGATCACACGTTCAGGATTAACAATACCCACAAAAAAGTTCCGATCTATAAACATTTGAAGATATTTTTCATAGAATTTACAAATTTCCAAACCTTTATCTACATTTCATATAAAAAATAATTAGATAAAGCTGACTTCTATTCTATTTTATACTGAAATTACAATAAATTTTATTTTACCCCGGGATATTAAGTATTATAACGTCCCGCTTATTAGGACTTCACATCATCTATTTTGAATTTACCACTTCTAGACAAATCATTTTTTTCAGTAAAGTCTGATGAAACAAAATCTTGATAATTAGGAAACTTGAACTTTAAATGAAAATATTGAGAAGAGATTAAAACTAATTTACTTTAATCACTGGTTTAATTGTTCTACTAATTATTTCTCTCTTTGCAAGCTTTGAATTTCACAGTTTACACAGAATGTGATTAAAGTTGTTTTTGTTTTTTTCTCTACTGATGTCCATATTGTTTCCTTCCGACATCAAGCTCTATCAATTTATTAACACTATCCCGATTGAACTATTTTGTCTAATATATACTATGGGACCTACAATTAAAATAATAAGAAAATAATAACGACGATCTTTGAATCTGCGGAATATTTTGGCATTTCATTTTCACATTAAAAGAAATGTAAAGACCCCTAATTTTGGCATGCCATTTTCACGTTTAAGGAACTGTATATAGATCTCTAATTTTGGCATGCCANTTTATATATATATCTCTAATTTTAGCATGCCATTTTCATGATAAACGAACTGTATAGATCTCTAATTTGAAGCGAACCCCCTATTAAGTGGCATGTCCTATTCACAAATCACAACGGTACCCTGTCAACCATAGACTTAAAAATGATAAAAAGAATAATTTTCTACAGAAACGCTTGTAATTAAGTTGATGTGTTGATACTTTTGCTAGCAAGCAATTTTATATCTGAGAAATATTAGTAGATTCTTTTCAGAAGTCGGAGAAAATAAACATTTTCAATCGATTTTAAAAAAGAATTTTGGGAAATTTTGAGAAATAGAAGTAACTTCAGATGCGTTGAGTTCACACAGTGCGCTAGTGTACACTCCAGTTTCTCGGGGGTTCTATACTTTTTTACAATCCTAAATTTGCATTGAGGGTCACTTGAAATTACGCTTACAGTTCTTTTAACGTAATAATTTTGTTGTATAAAATAAATGGAATTATTTAATTGTTTTTTTTTTATAAAAAAAATGGTGTTAGATTGTTTCGGAAAGTGATCAATCCTTTTAATTATCCCGATATAGCTTATTCAAATCTAACCTTTTAATTATCCCGATATAACTTATTCAAATCTAACCTTTTGATTATCCCGATATAGCTTATTCAAATCTAACCTTTTGATTATCCCGATATAGCTTATTAAAATCTAACCTTTTAATTATCCCGATATAGCTTATTCAAATCTAACCTTTTAATTATCCCGATATAGCTTATTCAAATCTAACCTTTTGATTATCCCGATATAGCTTATTCAAATCTAACCTTTTAATTATCCNTCTTAACCTGAACTATTATTCTTAACCTGAACTATTCATTCTTATCTACTGAACCCTATACTCATCCCTAACCTGAACCCTACTCATCCTTAACCTGAACCCTATACTCATCTCTACCCTGATCAGCCTAAGCTTTTAAGAGGCTCACTCGAAATAAGATTTGTGGTTTCTTTACTAAAGTGACCTACAGAAAAAATATAGAAACTATCGGAATTAAACACTTTTTAACCCTAAAAAAACGACAATATCTTAATGATCAGATAGAGTGGGTGGATACTGATGTGAATAGGCATGCTACAATATAGCTATATATTATTTATATATATATATATATGGAGGCTAGCTTGAATCATAGTGTAGATTCCCTTTACTGCACTGGAAACCAGAAAAGTCTGAAATATGAAGCCGATTTTTAAAATTAAGTTATAGCTTTAAAAAGTCCAATGAGCATGAGATACAGCAATTTAGCACTGAAAAATGACCCAATTCAATAAAAATTAGTGATTTATTAAGTGTCTAGTAAAACTATTTGCTTTGTAACAACAACATCAAATCAGTATTGCTATAATGTCGTCTTCCTATTCCACAGTTTTCTGAATCTCGCTGTGAGTAAGTGTACAAATAAAATAATAAAATGACCTGATGCAGCATTTAAAGAATCCTCCGTCTATCTTACATTGTTTAGCAAATTCAGAACTAGAGAAGCTCTCACAATCCTTGTGACAAACACTAGCATCCAAACCTTAATAGAAATCAGAAATCAGAAATCAGAAAATAGAAAACAGCAACTAGAAATCAGAAATCAGATATCAGAAATTCATTTTGTCAGCTCTGACGATCCTTGTGACAAACAAACACTAAAGCATCCAAACCTGGGAATTATCAAAAACCGGAATTTTTGTATTTTTTTAATGTTTTGTATTTTATGAAAACTAAGAACTATTTTCTTGAATTGTTTTTTTTCAGGATGTAAAAGATGTTTTAGAAAAAAGTTGGTTACTTATAATACAATTGACGTTCACCCCAATCTAAACGTTACATGATCCGTGCCGATACAACACGGCTACCCAGTGTAGATTAAAGTCGACCCAGCACGTTTTATGCAACAGATGCAATTAATGGTCATCAGGGGCGCACTTTTAGTGCAAAGAAAATTATTTTATCCGCCCCATTAAAAACCTAAAATCAATGAAATTAACCCTTTTCTATATAATTTATTTTCTATTCAATTCTGTAATTTTACAGGGAAACTAAATTGTTGCTATTAAAGCCGACCCACTCAGTTTAGAATCTCAAAACTAAGCTAAGAACATTTCCGTTGGTCTCCCGAAATCCTTAATCAAAATTTGAGGCAAATCGGTCCAAGGGTTCCTGAGTTATGATCGGACAAACAGAGATTACAACTTTAAATACATTAATTTGCATTTTTGTTTTAAAATCACATGAAAGTGATTTCAGACCTTTAAGTAACAAAATAAAGAATTTAAATCCGTTCTGCAAATTGTATAATATTAAAGCGAATAAATCTGAAAAGTAAACAATAAAGCTAAAAACATAATACATGTCTTTTTACAAAAAAATCATTAAACTCGTAAGAAATGTAACGTCAAATTTTGGTGTTTTTAGCATACATTAAATACTATGTAAATGTATGCAAATAATATCTCCCCCCCCCCCCCCAAATAAATTGCGCCAAATATTCAGTGATCTACTTGTCTAAAAAAATGAGAAAAAAACGAATTTACTTGAATTTAGCGGATAACAGGTTTCATATCCTCGCCGCTTCTCTTTGTTCAACCAGGCTTCCTAGACAATATCTTATAAACAGGGGTACCCAAAAAACGATGAGAATAAAAAGACGACCATAAATCTATTTAAATATGACGATCTAAATGTTGGAAAAATGTCTCCTTGATACCCGGAAAACAAATAAAAATAAAAATTAATATTTAAAGCACAATAATTTTTTTAAAAAATCGTTAAAGAAGAATTTATTTTTTAGATTATTTTGTTTACGACAAAAAATCGGATAGCGGAAATTTTTAATTGGCTTAAGAGATTAGTGATTCAAATCTTTGATAATCCGTGTCCGGCACTTAAATGGAAAAATTTGAATGAAAATCACTATTTGTTAATAGAGCCAATTCATGCAAAAGTTTTAATCTCGTGACCCCTAGTGCCCGGCGTTGCCCGTGGAATTAAAAAAAAATAGAATTTTGAAAAACATAAGATTTTTAAAGAACTCAAGTACCCAAGGGTTCCCTCGGTCCAGCCGTTTGGCCAGCAATAGCTAACATATATACATAAAAATATATATATATGAGCCAAGAGCGGTATTTTATAGATTAAACAAAGGTAGCATAAAAACCTTTTCTAATATAGTATGATAGTCTGACAGATATCCTTATATTTAAATGCCGCAGAAACAACGAATGAATTTGTCAGTATTGAACACAGAAACCCAAGGAGAAATGGAAGTTTTTTTAAACTGGGCCGTTTTTGAAGTGTTGCAACGCCTTTGCCTGAAAAAATGTGTAGCCCTAGAAAACCACATTCTTAAACTACAACAAGCTTATTTCAAACTTTAGTTCAAAGTAAATAATTGGCAAATGCTGATATATTTTTCTGTGAGGGCTTGCATACTGCACATGTTTAGGATTAATCATAGATATTAATAACATACAGATAGAACACTTTAAATGTCTTCTTTTCAAGATTTAGCGGTTTTTAGTTCACAATAACCCTGAGGCAGAGGCCCAAAGGAGCTAGGCGCATACTGCGTTGAATGACAAGACAGAGAGAGAGTCGAGCATATGCAGAAAATGGGATGAAAATAAAGAATTGGATGAATTTAAAATGGGATGAAAATGGAGAATTAGATTAATAGAAATGGGATGAAAATGGAGAATTAGATGAATAAAAATGAACTGAAATAAAAAATTGGATGAATATCAATAGTTGGATAAAAAGGAAAAATGAAAAGAAATAATTTAAAGAAAAAAGAATCAATGGCTGAATTTTTACAAAAAAAAAATAATCTTAATAACTGTAAAATATTTGAAATCAATAGTTTGAATGAAATTGAGTTGAGTATCGCATACATATCATAGTTCCTGTAATACCAGTTTAAAACTCTGCAACTGTCAATCAGGAATGTACGTTTGAAATTTTCTTGACAATAATAAGAACCAATGTAAAAACAGGTTTAAAGTTGGATATCACCGGTTTCACAACCTTTAATATTGTATTATTAGTACCGCGCGCAGCTCTGAATAACTTTAAAGGGTCTGAAAGCGTATTTTAATGTGACCCTCTATGCAAAGATACCAATGCCTGATTCACAACGATACCCTTGAAACCTTTATCTGATTAAAAATGTGCGTCGGATTTCTGAATCGATAAGTGTTTAATTCTGATAATTTCTCCATTATTTCTAATATGCAAGAAATGCGCAAGTCACTTTTACAGAAAATCTACAAAAAGATAATATTTAGTTTAAATAAACACAAATATAGTGATCAAACCAAGCTTTCAATGGTATCGTTGAAAATCGGGCAATGCAATTCTTTGGACAGAGGATAACTTAAAATCACGTTTACAGTCCCTTCAAGAGTGTCCGACAACGATCGGATTTGTTGGCTGCACGCTATAAATCATAAGATTGTCGCCAAATATTTATAAAAGCGCCAAGAAGCGTCGATTGGCCCTGAAACCAGTTTACTTCAACATCGAAGTTCATAGTATAAAATGGGAAAAATCAAAAATGTAATTAGTTCTTCTAAAACCAGGAACAAACCATGAAGGTATAGAGTGACATAAATTGTAACTCCACACAACAAATTTTATGGCCTAAAATATCAAAATGCTGAGAGCTACAGCAAAATTAAGCAAAATTAAGCAAATTTAATTCCACTTTTAAATACAAGTCCTTAATTTTCGGCGTTAAAAATCTTTCAATTTTTATTTGTGAATGTTCAGTATTACTTTATCTATTAAAGTAAAAAATTTTATTAATATTTCAATTTTTTCCATATTGTAATGAGGAATGTAAAAAACTGTATTCCATTTCCCCATAATTAATTTAACTCAACTTTCAAAATAAGACCGTTTGTTTTTGCTTATAAATTACATTTTTTTGACAACAATTCTATTTAGTTAATTCCTGTTTTTATTTTCTAGGACTTTTATTTAATTAGACTGTAAATTTTCAAATCACAATCAAAAGAATTTAAATGAAGAAAATATATTTGCAACTTGTGTAAAATTTTTATTTTTAGTTAAAAAAAACATATTTATATGGGTTTCAAGCTACTTTTCAAAGAGCTTCAAAAGAAAAAAAAAATTAAAGCCGAATTTTATTGATATTTTGAAAATCGTATTAAATTCAACATTTTGCAACTAAATAGACATTAAATCAAAACCTTAATAAACACACTTTGTTAAATCACTGTTTAGAAGGCAGTCTTAAATTTCTTTTTTACATTTTACACTTTTCATACAGAGGGGAATAAAAAAGGATTAAAACTGAGTAATTGTTCAATTGCAATTATCTTCAAAGTTATAACAGTATCCAAATGTTTTTTTTCAGGGTTGTGTTTTAGTTCTATTGAGTATTGCTGTTGCGAGTGGTGATCAGCACCAGCACCAGCATCTCCAGTTTGGTCAGCAACAGCATCAGCAGCATGGTCTAAATCCTTTCCGAACCTTCTCCCCTTCAACACGTGCACTGGTCAGATCTCAAGCATCAGCCCCTGTATCAACTTTTATCCCAATCAGATCCTCTTCTTCAACTTCTAACTATGCCTTGCCTACTCTGTCCTATACGCCAACACAATCTACTAGATACATCCCTTCTACGATTAATGCGTATTCCCCTTCAGCTTCTCTTACCCCCATTCAAACCACAAGATATATCCCAACATCAGCAAATGTCTATACTTCTACTCCAGTGAGATCTTATGCCACTCCTGCACCTTCCTACACTTCCTCTCCCTCATTTACCTACTCTTCTTCCCCAGCTCATGTCACCCCTTCAACCTACACTTCTGCTAGAGCACATGCTGCCCCAACTCCTTCCTACACCGTCACCAGATCCCATTCTACTCCAAGCCAAACCTTAACCTCTGCCAGAGCCTATAATGCCCCAACCTACACTGACAATGCCTCTGCTTACAGCTTCAATTATGGTGTTGCAGACACCTATTCTGGTGCTAACTACAACCATGCAGAATCCAACAATGGTTACTCCACCTCCGGGTCCTACTCTGTTGCTCTCCCTGATGGAAGAATCCAAACTGTCAACTACAGGGTTGATGATGATACCAGTGGATATGTTGCTGATGTCAGCTACTCAGGAGAAGCAAGATATGATGCAGGATCCAGCTACGCCCCAACCTCATCTTACAATGCTGTTCCCATCAGATCTGCACCAACCCCTTCTTTTTCCTATGCTCCTACAGTTTCCTTCGTGGCTGTACCTAAGCCAACTCCTGCTAGTGACTACACCAAAGCAAGACCTGTTCCAACCCGTATTCCAGTTTTTGAATCTGAGTCCAGTGGATATGGCCGTTAAGAAGATCAGAGCTTGGTTTATTACTTTTTTATTTCTTTTTATTTAATTATTTAAATATAACTTATTCAACTTTATTTTCATGCTTTGTTTGCTTTATTATGGAATAAAATTGATTCCTATTCTTCTATGGTACTTTGTGCACTTTGAGTACTATATACTGGAAATCTTTACATTGTAGAAAGTGGATGTTTTAAGTCAGTAGTGATTGGCAATAGCTCGATTTGCTTTCCTAGCCCTTTCAATGTGTGAAGGTTACATTCAGAAGAAATAATTTTGAAAGGGGGGGGGGGGGTGTAAAAGGTGGAATGTGTCTAGGGCTGGGCGTGAAATTGTTCATTCCTTGTTCTAGAACAAGGGCTTCCTCTATGAGGCAGGAAACCCCCGGACGCCATGAGCCTCCGCTATGCAGACGCGAGCCTCCCAGAGTTGCTAGGCAGACCAAGCCTCCGATTTGCAGATATGAGCATGCGCAATACATCTAAATGTTTGAGGCTTCTCAAAGATGAGAAGTATTTATTAATTATCATAAATAGTGGCTAATTATGACTAATAAAGTGGTATCTAAAACTTTAAACATTTTTAACACGAAAAAGGAAAATATTTAGAAAAAAATTTGAATTGAATTTCATTTCATCTTTTATAATCTTTGATTTTAGCGATTCCTGTTTTTGAAGTTTAAATTAAATTTGTATTTATTATTTAAATCTTAACATTTTTCAAAAAAAGGTATTGTTTTAATCAAAGATTACAACAAAACAAACCAAGTTTACTCAAGAAATATTTCTCCAAATATCTTCCTTTCTGCGTAAGAAATGTTTAAAGTTTCAATATAAATCTTATAAACCACTTTATAAGTCCATATGTGTTTCCAATTATGACAATCAATGAACAACTCTAATCTTTAGTAAAATTCTTATGCCACTACGTCAAAAAAAATTGTTAAAAGTTTGCATCACTCACAAAAAATCAAGATTCAAAAATAGCTGTGTTGTATGGTGGAGGCTCGTTTACTGCATAGCGGAGGCACGGTCTGCATAGCGTAGGCTTTGTCTGCATAGTGGAGGCTCGGTCTGCCTAGCGAATCTGGGAGACCCGATGTCTGCATAGCAGTGGCTCATTGCGTCCGGGGGTTCCCTCCCTACTCTAGATCATCCATTCCTCGTTCGCTCTCATCCCAATTGTTTCATCCCTGTTTTATTCCGTTCTTTGTGTTCTTGATTGAGAACGGTTCCAAGGAACAGGTTGGGATGTTTTGAGGGAGGAGGGACTGAGCTGTATGCTGTATGTATAAAATGTCTTTTTATACGTTCACGGGACTGAGTGGGGGAGAGGTTGGGTAACATAGCCATTGGCGAACCCCACCAAACTGACAGAATTTACAATTATATAAATAAATTAAAACAAGGGCATTGTTCTTAATAGTTCCGTAAGTTTCCCAGAAGTGTCCCTCACTTGAATACCTTATCAGCTAAATATTTTTTGGCTTTTTCTGGATAGTTTTTGTTCACCGTATCCCAGTTCCTTGTGCATATTGGTTTGTGGAAGCAGCATATTGTCAGTGCCTTGTTCTTACAATACAGAAGGTCTCCAGACTAAAAAATATGAATTAAAGGGACTGTAAGCGTAAATTCAAGTGATCCTCCATTGATACATGGGAAGGTCTGATTCACAACGATATCCCTAAAAGCTTATCTGAACAAGTATGAATTAGATATCAATGTATATAATTAATTGGAAAATGATTAATTTCAATTGGGGTTTCTCAACAAAAGGGACTTGCACATTTCTACTTCAGGAAAACATATAGGAATAATCAAAATTAAACACATTAATATCTAGAAAAGCGACAATATCTTCCACATTATTTATCAGATAAAGGTTCACTGCAGCTGGTACCGGTGTGAGTCGGGCATTGCAATCTTTACAAGGAAAGTCACTCCTTACACAGTTCCTTTTAAGTTTCTAACTAGAGACTTTAAAACTTAATAAATCATGGTATATTATATTCAAGTTCAAACATGGTGAACCATTCATTTTATGTAATGTTTTGACTTAAGCTTTGTAAAGACTTTTAAAAAGAAAAAAATCATTTAACTACACAATTCAATAGTATTTCATAGATTTTCTAGAAGTTGTCTTCCTACTTCAGTTTCGTGAACACTCACTTTAATTTTAATTTTTACCTCCTTCACAGTTGTAGTTGCACAAATTGTCCCAAGAGCCTTCGCTAGTCTTAATTTACACTTTTGGAACACCTAGAAATAGGTCTTTAATAAACAACTAGATGGAGTACATGATATTGCCCAGGTTAATATTATTATTCATAGATAGACATAGTAATACACGCCTGGTATTAAACATGATTTAGCTAAAGTGTCTTGACTCTTGAGTTGCCCGTGGAATTATTTTTAGCCTTTATATTATCCTGGGATACCTATGGCCTCCCTCAAAAAATCCAACTTTTTCCAGCCCTTTGGCCACCTATAGCTAACATATAATCATATGTATGTGAGCGAAGAGCTTTATTATAAAGATGATAAAATTTTAATATAAAAATATGTGTGACATTATTTACATACAGTGGCGTAAATAAGGGGGGTTATTGGGGTTACTTACACCCTCCCCCCCTAGAATCCTTGGGGTAATTACCCCCCCCCCCTCAGAATCTTAGGGGTAACCCCTAGAATCTTGGGGGACACAAACATCCCGGTTTTGTAATTTGATCTCGATTCTCCATGTCCATGATTACCATTAAAAGGAAAAATGTTAAAAAAATGTTTGGCGCTTCGCGCAGATAATCTTACTCAATCAACTTAAAAAAAGTAATATAGATAAATTTTACCAAAAAACTGAGTTTTTTAATGCAGTAGCGTACTTGCACTATATGTCAAATTAAGTATATAGATCTTCCGGGGGGGGGGGAAAAAATGTTAAAAGATAGAGATTATTAAGAATTATATCGTAAAAAGTAAGATATTTCCCTTTTAATACAGTGAAATTGACATATATACCCAGTACATTGAAGACAAGAAAGTTTTAGAAATTAGAAATTAGAATATAAACAAATACAATATTTTTTCAAAGTTTTGCAGAGTAGTTTTTCTAAAGATTTAAAAAAGTAACATCTTTTTCCTCTTAGAGTAAAACTATTTTTTATGTAACTAAAAATAAATTCAGTTTTTTACAGATCTTTGTAGTTAGTGTAAAATGAATGACTATAATGAAGGATATAAAACAAGGTGAATGCTGAAAGGTAGAAAATGAAGCCTTTATTTGATGCAGTTCGTTAATGCCAGAAATGAGTGGAAAATGCAAATCAAACCAAACTAAAACCAATAATTTGATGTACATCATGATATTTTTCTAGGGGGGGTAAAAAAAATCCCCCCTACAGAATCCTTATTTACGACCCTGTTAACATAAATGAGTAAGAATGTTTTTATGCGTAATTTTATAGAACACTCCATTTGAAAAGTTGTATTTACAATATTTTTGAAATATACTAGTTGAATTTACAATATTTTTGAAATATACTAGTTGTATTACTTATCATGAAATATGAGTATTAAAAAAAAAGGAAACAATCCATTTATTTTATTTACCTCAACATCACTTAAGTCTCCTGTTTCTTCCTCGCAGTGTCCAAGCTAGACATTTTAAATTTTAAAGGGACAGACCGGCTATGTAAGGTAGTTAAACTGAGTATGCAGATGTTGTGGACAAATTCTTCAGGATTCATTTCAGACATATGAAGCGTTTCCACGGTGCATAATTACTGAGTTTGAGCGCAAATTCGACGTTCAAAATCATGAATTTGGGTAGGTACGTTTTCAGAATCGGTTTTTTTAATTATTGAATAACGACGACGAAAAATAAAGTAAAAATTATATAGTATACTAATTAGATTCTTAGGAACATATTTCTTAAAAGAAATTTGTCAATAAATTGAAGCTAGAATTATTTATTTACTTACTCATCATTATACTGAATTTCTTTTTTTCCATAAATGTGTTCGCAGATTTCTTCAAATTCTTCAAATGTCGTCTTTTTAATAAAAATTCAAGAAAATCTGCAGAAAATCTTTGTGATTAAAGAGAGATTATATAAAATAATAACTGAATAAGAGCTGAAAACTTTAGAATGTGATATCCTTAATCCGATCTGTTAATGAATCTGGAGATTAAATTCATGTGGAGAACAAGTCATATTTAATCTGGATATTAAGAAAAAGAACGGATTAAGCGTTAATCCTGATATCCACCATTCTAAAGTTTTCAGCTAAGATTTCTTATTTTTAGATGATAAGAGTTCCTAACTTCCTAAACAACTAATTAGTTTACTGTAGAATTTTGTTTCACATTTTGCGTCGTCGTTATTTAATAATTTAAAAAAAAAACAATAGTGAAAACGTATCCACCAAAAAGTAAGATTTTGAACGTCGACTTTGCGCTCAAACTCAGGATTTACAGATCTTTAAAAATGAGTCCTAAAGAATTGTCCACAACACTGCATACTCGGTTCAACTACCTTACATAGCCGGTCTGTCCCTTTAATGTATGCGCGATATCAAGAGACTCCATTTATGAAGAGCGCCCTCCACTAAACGCTACTAATGTTTTGGCCGGTGAACTGCAAAATACTGCCGAACGTACCGAAAGCTTAAGAGGGTGAGGAGCATGTCCGAATCTCAAAGATACCCTTTGTACTTTTCTCTCATCATCGACACGTCGAGTAGACCGTGTTTTTATCTCTAGAATGATTTTCAAATTACCGGTGTCACATTATAAAGTGTCCGGGCATGAGATAATGTCCAGGTACTGTATTTCTGTCTTAAACTGAAACATCAAATTTAGAAATATTTAAATATATATAGATTTTTTAACGACTAATATTTTCATGTTTTTTTAATTCTTTGAAAAGAAGAAAGTCCAATGTGGGTTTCAAAAACTTAAAATAGATATTTTTTGAAAGAAAACAATTGCAAAGATGATTAAGGATAAGTCCGTGATCCTCGATAAGTCTGAAGTTTAAAGGATACTGCTGTGAATCTGACACGCTGCTCTACAAATGGAATCTTACTTTAAGTTATGCTATAAGTGCCTTAAAGCAATTCTTATCTGTCATTGTCTTTGTATATTAAAAACTTTCAAAATATGTACCTTTCCCTTTAACACTCAATTTCATGTCAAAGTTCTTGTTTCAAATGGCACCCATAAAAGTAAAAAAGTATGCAAAGAAATTCTTTTACCTTTGGGTCTGGTTTATTCTTAATTTGCAATATCAGACTTTGATTTTGACAGTTTTTGGCTGAAACAAAAAAGAACTTAAATTGATAAATATCCTGAGAGTAAAGTGCAGTAGTTCTTTTCATTTTATTCTCTCCGAATCTACCAATTCAAGAATTTATCTAATCATTTTCGTAGATTTATTTCTAAAAAATAAAGACGATATTGACTCCGCAAAAATATTCAGAAAACAAATTTAAAGTGCTAAAAGTGCTGGGCGTCGTTCCTTGAAAACGATCATTCTTTCACGTGAACGAACGGAATGGAACGAAAGATTAAAAAAAGTAGAAACGCGTCCAGCGGTCATCCCTATACCCCTGAATAGGAAATTGAAATAATTTGTATCCTAAATTTTATGTGTTTGGATAAGATGAGATTATTATGACTATTAAAAATAAGTTTTTAAGATTCCAAAAAAATCGTTAGTTTACCTGGATCATAATCTTCACTCCAGTATACAACACCATGGACAGGAAGGAGAAGAGGGAGTAGATAGATCAATACTCCTAACAGGACAGTACACAAAATGAATCGAATCCTTCCAGCGAGATAAATGTTTTAGAACTAGAAGGTTAACAAGAAAAAGTATAACCACAAAGAATGAGACTGTAAAGACGACTGAAACCTTCAAATATGACGATCTCAAATTTGAATTAAATCCTAATCATACCATTTAAATGTGATGGTTTTTAAATGGCTTATTTGATGATTTTGCAAAGAAAGAACGATGTTTATAGTTTCAGAGAATCATGAACATAAGAACACATTAGAAGAATTAGTAGAATTACTGCATAGTCGTCTCTGAAGTCTCATCCTTTGTGGATAACCCTGCACTTCTTTCAAGTTTTAATTATATCTATGAACATGTGAATATGGTGTAATTGGAAAAATATAACAACATTATAAAGTACACCCCTCCCTATTGTTAGAATAACCATTACAGCTGATTTTTTCACTTTGTCACATTCGCATGTCTGGTGATTTGAACTTCTTTAAGATTTGCACTGATTACATATATGAGCTAGAACATAAAGAGAGCATAATCAGCACTCCCTTTGAACATTTTTAATAATCTGAATAATCTATATGTAATCTCTCTATGTTCTACTATTAAACTATATACACTTTACATAGCTGGTCTTATTTACTGAAGAGTGTAATTTGAAACTACAGAATAACAACTTTCACATGCTTAGTGCAGAATAAAACTATAATTGTCAAATAGAAAAAAAATGTTAAAAACGCTTTACTTTTGTGCACTGACTTTAAAATTTTTACCTTACTAAATCTATCATTTAAAACATGAAAACCTATTAAAATGTTGGTAAAATTGATTTCCTCGATATTAAAACATATGTACGACGACATTTACGTAGATAAAGTATTTCAAACACGAACATTTCGTCGTTTAGTTTTTCCCTTGTTATACAACAGTACTTGATGAATATTGGACCAGATTGCCTGTTATAAACTCTATGCTGTTTTTCCCTTGTTATACATTAGTACTTGATGAATATTGGACCAGATTGCCTGTTATACAACAGTACTTGATGAATATTGGACCAGATTGCCTGTTATAAACTCTATGCTAGATAGAAATAAATCCCAGGTTAAGGACAAGCGATTACCACAAAAAATAATCTTTGAAATGTTGTACTTTTATGAATCCAAAATTAATCCCAGTGCAGTACGAAGATAATACCAGACCAGTACGAATATACTAGAGCATATTCAATCCCAGTATTAGTGTTTGTCGTTGGTAATACTTCACCTGTTAAAATTGTTTCAGTGAGCAGAAGAAACATGTTACGTAGTACGTACTTTACGCTCTTATTTAAAAATTGTACGCGATAAAAATGTCTCATTGCAGGTATCAAATGAATCCTAAAACTTTGCTCGACAATACTGCAGTTTCAGCTTAAATCCCATTAAAATAAGAGTACTTTAATATATACGTCGTATCAGACTCTAAAGAGTAAATTCGGAGCAGTTTTGATCAAAGCTGTGAACCGAGATATTAGTAATCACATTCTATTTTTAAAAGATACACGGTGTTATGCCTTGAGTTAGGTTTTACAAATTATTAAAAATTAAAATCAAGATCAAGATGCAAGAAACTTTGACTGTAGCCAATAAGATTCAAGATTCATCCTTTGCATAGGTAACCCTATATCTAATCAGGGACGTTTTTCTGTAGGGGGACGTTAACAGTTAATTTCATTTACAGAAACCTTTGCATAGGTAACCCTATATCTAATCAGGGAAATATTACTTTTTTATTTCTTTTTATTTAATTATTTAAATATAACTTATTCAACTTTATTTTCATGCTTTGTTTGCTTTATTATGGAATAAAATTGATTCCTATTCTTCTATGGTACTTTGTGCACTTTGAGTACTATATACTGGAAATATTTACATTGTAGAAANCTTTGCATAGGTAACCCTATATCTAATCAGGGACGTTTTTCTGTAGGGGGACGTTAACAGTTAATTTCATTTACAGAAACCTTTGCATAGGTAACCCTATATCTAATCAGGGACGTGTTTCTGTAGGGGGGACGTTAACAGTTAATTTCATTTACAGAAATTTTACTAAAAGAGATAAGTGTTTTACTCAAACCTTTTACAACAAGAAAGGGCAACCAGGATACTCGGCTAAGACGAAGAGAGCTCTGAATTTCATGTGACCTTCCATTTCCTCCATTTGCCCAATTTATAAAAGAAATCTATTTGATCAATAATGTGGAAGATATAGCCATTGTTCATGGATTTAAATTGTTTGATTCGGACAATTCCCTCATTTTTTAAGAAGCTGCAATGCTCAAGTTATTTATTTACAGAAACAAGAATTTCAAAAACTTTTTGCCAAAATGAAAATATATATATCTAGTTCATTCCAGATCATAAAAAGCTTTTAAGGGTATCGTTGTTAGGAGGATATACCACTCAATAATTTGAGTGTCATTTTACGCAACCAGTCTCTATAAAATATTAGGATTAGAGGGTATCGACGGATATCGAATTGAATTCAATATAGATCGCTACTAATTAACATAAATTCACATATTCCGCACAGATCATAAATAATTCAATTAAATTTAAAATAAATCATTCAGAGCCATACGAAAACTTTAGAATGGTGGATATCACGATTAATGCTTCAGAGGTCGAGGTTAGGATAAACTTTAAAACAAGCTGCAGGAGAGTTCAAGAAAATGTTTCCAAAAATGCTTCAGGAAAAGCCTCAAGACAAGCCTGAATTTCTTCAGGAGAAGCTTTAGGACAATCACTGAGACTAGCTTGAAAACAAGCTTAAGGTTCCAGGATAAATTTCTAGACAAAATTCAGGACAAGCTTCAAGAAATTCTTCAGGAGAAGCCGGCTTTATTAACGAATTTGAGCAGCGGCGGCTTAAATCTGAGATGTGGCTCTAATTTTGTTGGTTTCCAAGGGATGTAATCTTTCGTCTTTGCAATAAGGACAGACAAGCAAAATATTAATCATAAGTAGAATTGAAAAAAATGGTTTGAGTTGTGCTTTTTTGAGTGACGCGGCTGGATTTTTAAAAATCAGACTTTAAAGGCCATAAATATACCATTTAAAAAAGTTGTTTTGCCCGGAAGAAAAAAGCTAATATGTCGCACGGAAGGGGAAATAATGGTGGCTCATGGCCGCCTGCCTTCCCCCGCTCGCACAACTACACTATGCTTCTTCGCACCAGAAGAGATTAAAAGCAAGGTAAGACCATTAATTATATCTCACTTTTAATGGTTTGAAGGACGAGGGAGGTAACACCCGGACGCCATGAGCCTCTGCTATGCAGACATGAGCCTTCCGTTGTACAGTAAAATTATACAAAATAGTTTCCTTGAAACTCATGATTAACATGTCGGAGAGAATTTTTTCGTTTTTTTTTCGACAGTGTCATATAATTAGGGTTTCCAAATTTTCATTCATTCTTTTTCGCGAAAATTTTCGTTCAGCTTCGCGAAAATGTTAGTTAAATTTTTTTTTGCGAAATTTGTTCAAAATTTTCGCAAAATTTCTTCGAAACTTTCGCAAAATTCGTTCGAAATTTTCGCAAAACTAGTTAAAACTTTCGACATTTCCTTCAAAATATTTTTTTCTCGCGAAAATAAGATCTTCTTGATGCCAAATGGAAAAATTCCTATTTTTATCAAACAAAATTGAACAAAAATGAAAAATTTCGCGAAAATGAAGTCAAATATGTGGTCGAAAATACATCGAAAATCGAAAAATTTTGAGCAAAAATAAACGAAACTTGTTCCATGAAAACCCTGGCCTACATATAAAGTTTATCACAGGTTAGAAGTATTAAATAATTGTAAAAGGTAATTAGTTATGACTAAAGTGGTTTATAAAACTGGAAACATTTTACACGCAAAAAGGAAAACATTTAAAGAACAAATTCTGTAAGGAATTTTATTTGATATTTTATGATCTTTGATTTACGCGATACCTTTTAATGTCTTTCCATTTTCCAGCTATCTCTACATTAGATAATCGTTAATCCATTAATAAAATTGTGATCATAAAGTAGGGTCGGAAAATTGTTAACGGTGCCAAGTTGATAGCGGTTACTACTGATTATTAAAATTAAAAATAGTTGAAAAACGGGCGTCACTCACTCGTATGAAATCAGAAAATATCTATATATTTCTTTATTTCTTGACTTAACGTAATACTTCTATATTGAGATGAGGAACATATTTACAATAAAACACTGTAAATTTATATTTCCATAATATTAGGCTGGATTCATTTATACATATATCGACATTAAGAGAAAACACAAATTCCATAAGTTGATCAATACAACACTGAATTTGATCAAACCAAAACAGGGGGAAAAATGAAATAAAAAATATTACCAAACCGGCAGAGAAACTGAAAAAATAAATAAAAATACTTGGATGAAAAAAGGTAATAGTAGACCTGAACATAAAAAAATGAATGATGAAAAAATTAATATTTCCCCAGTTGAAATTTCATTTCACAGACTTGGACGAACTTATCATTAGATAATGGTTGATCTATTTGATTATAAGAGTTAAAATAATTAACATCGAGCTATTAAATCTGTTTCAAATTGATCTACCAATAACGGTGATTTAATTAACGTCCTTCAGTGCGGGATTGTAGAGGCCGGCGCAAGAGTATTAAGTGTTAGCACTGAAGTATCTTGTATCATCACTGAACTTATCTTGTGTTATCACTGAAGTATCTTGTGTTAGAGCTGAGTATCTTGTGTCAGCGCTGAAGTATCTTGTGTCAGCGCTGAAGTATCTTGTATCATCACTGAACTTATCTTGTGCTATCACTGAAGTATCTTGTGTTAGAGCTAAGTATCTTGTGTCAGCGCTGAAGTATCTTGTGTCAGCGCTGAAGTATCTTGTATCATCACTGAACTTATCTTGTGTTATCACTGAAATCTTGTGTTAGAGCTAAGTATCTTGTGTCAGCACTGAAGTATCTTGTGTCAGCGCTGAAGTATCTTGTGTCAGCACTGAAGTATCTTGTATCAGCACTGAAGTATCTTGTGTCAGCACTGACGTATCTTGTGTCAGCACTGACGTATCTTGTGTCACCACTGACGTATCTTGTGTCATCACTGAAGTATCTTGTGTCAGCGCTAATCAATCTTGCGTCAGCAATTAAGTAGTTTGTTTCAGCACTGACGTATGTTGCGTCAGCAATTAAGTATCTTGTGTCAGCACTGACGTATGTTGTGTCAGCACTGACGTATCTTGTGTCAGCACTGAAGTATCTTGTGTCAGCGCTAATCCATCTTCCGTCAACACTGAACTATTTTGAGTGAGCGCTAAACTATCTTGTGTCAGCCCAGGTGCAAGGTCAGGCAGGGTTTTGATTCGCCGATTCATAAAAATATCTCCACACCTTTAACAAAAACTAGGTTAGGCTGACATAATAGCATTAACCGAGAAAAGAATAAAAATTGTAAATTTGTTGGACACATGTGTATAAAATCAAAATTAGCGCAATATTTTATAAGTAATAAAAGCATACTTTTTTGAGACACAATATTGTAACTTTTCAGAATTTTGTAGAACCCATCGAAATTCAAAAACAAGATGAAAACCGGAATAAAAACCCAAGACTAAATCTAATTATTCTTACGTATGTAGTTTACTGATCAGTGAGAGAATGATTGTGAACTTGTCCGTGAATGATTGAGATGATGTACTCGGTGACCTCGCTTCTTCTTTCTGCAGATATCTAAACATAGTCATTAATAGTTAGAGACTGTAGAAGAAATATCACGTGACTCTCGGTTTCTCAGAGGAAAGTCGGGATTTATAACCCTAGAAAACTTATATAGATCAAGAATGCATGTTCATAATTTTTCTTGGAAAATTGATTTTCTTTAAAAAATAAATGGTATCGTCAGAAGTAAACACTTTTCAAGTTAATAATAAGACGAAGATTTATATACCTATGATAAAGGGACTGTATACCTATACATGTCACTAGTGACCTAAAGGGATATATCTTCCACATTTTTTATCAGAGAAAGGTTTTAAATGGTTTAGGTGTATTTGAATATATACGGCAAAAACTTGTGGAATAGGAAGAATTTAAGGTTCATCGACATAGGGTCAAACGACCTAGGGTGAAACGACCCAGGGTCAAACGCAGGGTGGCCAAAACTTTTTTGAAAAAATCCGTACATTTTCAGCAAAAAATCCGTACATTTTCAGAAAAAAATCCTTACAATCCGTACAATTTTCGAAAAAATCCGTACAATCCGTACAATTTTCGAGAAAAAACCGTACAATCCGTACGTTTTTTTTTTGAAAAAATCCGTACATTTTTTGAAAAATCCGCACATTTTCTTAAAAATCCATACAATCAGTACAATTTTCGAAAAAAATCCCTACAATTTAAGAAAAATAAAACCATTTTTGAAAATATTATTCAACAATTTCTCAGTTATAAAACTTAAACATTACTATTAAACTAGAGAACTAGAGAGCTAGAGAGTTAGAGAAATAGAGAGCTAGAGAGTTAGAGAACTAGAGAACCAGAGAACCAGAGAACTAGAGAACCAGAGAACCAGAGAAAAAGAGAAATAGAGAACTGAAGAGCGTTGATTCTAATTTTTAAAACTGTTTAGATCGGTGTGATTTAGGCCATTTAACAAACAAACGATTAAGTTATAATTAGAAAGAGTGGCGTGTGGATTTAGGATCTAATATAATTAAAATTAGCGTGGTGGGAGGTAGTACAGGGGTTGCACACTCAATTAAAAGAAAGTTAATATAAAGCTAAAAATGAAAAAATTTACAGATAAACGGAAGAAATTTGAGAGGATGTTCTCAGATCTGATAAAGAGACAGATAGATATATAGATAAACAGACAGATAAATAGACAGCCTGTCCTAGCCTTGGCGCTCGGCACCCTAGCCTGTCCTAGCCGCAGCGCTCTGCCCAGAAATTGTCTTAAAATAACTTAACCCTCAAATTATACAAAAATAAACAGCTAGCGTAGGTACGATATTGCAGTAGGTCGAAAAGTTAGTAGGTCAGAAGAAGGCGATGTAACATTACCCTTGAAACACGATTGATTTAATGTCGTCTTCATATTCAACAAAAATGTAATGGTCTTCCTGTAATTCATATAATCTAAATGAATTTGAGAGTAAACTGCGGGAAAATCTCTAATTTCAAAATTCAAAAATTAAATTTGATGATTGTTTTCCTCTCAGCTGTCAAGTAGACCATGTTACCTATAGAGTAGCTGAGCTAGACTGGTATTGAGGGTTCGAATATTCTTATTCTTCGCCAGCGGAGATTCCTGCAACGAATTATTAGTACCGTCAACGAATTTCGCAGCGATCTTTAAATTAACAGATAATTCTATTTTTTTTTTCATACTTTTCAGCAAATCTACATAATAATACAAGACATTCGTATAAATATATATATTTGTATTTTTTATATATCTATACTATATGAATGCTGATGAATGTCAGTGTCTAGTAATAACCAATATTAATAAAATTTCTAGGGTTATTTTAAAGGGAGTGAAGGCAATGTATGGTGGTTGAACTGAGATTGCAGTATTGTAGAGAAATTTTTTAAGATTCATTTGAGACAGATAAAACGCTTAAGATCTATAATTACTGAGTTTTAGCGCAAAATCGACGTTCAAAATCATCAATTTGGGTGAGTACGTTTTGAGAATCGTTTTTTTTTAATTATTAACTAACGACGAAAAAAATATAGTTAAAATTCTATAGTAAACTAATTAGATGTTTAGGTTTTGAAACATATTTCTCAATAGAAATTTGGCAATAAATCAATGTTAGAATCAATTATTTCGTTTTCATCATTATATTGAATTTTTTACTTTTTATTGATTTGTTCGCAGATTTCTACAAAATCTTCAAATTATTCAAATGTTGTCTTTTCAATAAAAATTCTAGAAAATCTGCAGCAAATCTTATTGAATATTGAATAAGGAGAGATTATAGAAACTAATAATTGAATAAGATTAGTGATTTTCTATGATAACCGTTAATTTTAATTTTCTTAACCTGTTCCTAAAAAACTTACTAGTTTACAGTAGAATTTTGTTACATTTTTTGTTGTCGTTATTTAATTATAAAAAACGATTCTCAAAACGTATCCACCCAAATACACATACAGCTAGACATATCATACATACTTGCTCAGACATATACAAATATATATATATTAGACTGTTAGACATGTCCACATCCACACTCAGGCATAAATCCTGGACAGTTAGACATATCATACATCCATTCTTAGGCATATATATAAAGACAGTTAAGACATATCCATCCATACTCAGGAATATATACTTAGACATATCACATCATATATATATGAAGGAAGAGCTTTATTACATAGATTAATTGATTGACCTGTGTCTGACTGACAGCTATCAGCAAGAACACGAGGCAACGCAGTTTCTGATCATTCTTCAAAATCTAAAAAAGGATTTGTTAATAAATCCAACACTATTTAATTTGTTTATATGTATTTACTGTTAGTAATATTCTCATCTAAACCTATCAAATAACATGATAAATCAAAACCTAACCTAAAAAAAACAAGATCTAGCCAAATTAAATTCCAGTTAAAATAATAATCAACTGTATCAAATTAAATTAAACACAGTCATTTGTTTAGATCTAAGAAAAAATTATGATAAAATTTTCAAAAATTGTTTAAATTAGAATTCTAATTAGCAAAGCTGTTCTGTCCATATGAATAATATTAAAGCTGTCCAATCTGTATAATAATAAAGCTGTCCAATCTGTATAATAATAAAGCTGTCCAATCTGTATAATATTAAAGCTGTACTATCTGTATAATATTAAAGCTGTCCTATTTGTATAATATTAAAGCTGTCCATTCTGTATTATAATAAAGCTGTCCTTTCTGTATAATAATAAAGCTGTCCAATCTATATAATATTAAAGCTGTACTATCTGTATAATATTAAAGCTGTCCTATTTGTATAATATTAAATCTGTACTATCTGTATAATAATAAAGTTGTCCTATCTGTATAATAATAAAGCTGTCCTAAGCTGTCCTATCTGTGTAATATAAAACTAACCTGTCCTATCTGCATAGTATTAAAACTAACCTTTCCTATCTGAAATAATATTAAAACTAACCTGTCCTATCTGAAATAATATTAGAACTAACTTGTCTAATCTGTACAATATTAAAACTAACCTATCCTATCTGTATAATATTAAAACTAGCCTGTCCTATCTGTATAATATTAAAACTAACCTGTCCTATCTGTATAATATTAAAACTAACCTGTCCTATCTGTTTAGTATAGAACTAATCTGTCCTATCTGTATAGTATAAAACTAACCTGTCCTAACTGTATTGTATTGACCCTAACCTGTCCTATCTGTGTAGAATTAAAACTAACCTGTCCTATTTGTGTAATAGTGTTAATAAAGAACTCCTCGTCTTCTTGTTTACTGCACCAAGGGCTGGTTAAGATATCAAAGTCTTGCATTGATTTAGATTCAGCATCACGAAACTCAGGTACAGAATCACAGATAATCTTTTCTGTAAAATAAATCTTTATGTAGGACTAGATTGGAAACCCAGCTTTGCCTAAAGTTTTCCCTTTAAAAGTCAACCAACTTAAAGGGACTGTGAGCGTAATTTCAAGAGGGCAATGTCGGATTCACATGAGTACCCTGAAAAGCTTTGTCAAGATCAAGTGGGAACGTTTTTGACCAGATAAAAGTTTCAAGAGTATCGTTGTGAATCGGGCATTGGCATCTTTGCATGGAGAGTCACTTCAAATTACGCTTAGAGTACCATTAACTTAGAATTTTTTTAACCCAGCCTGAGAAAATGACCCTGGTTCTACTGAGTTCCCAAATCGAAAGTTTGAGACAAATCGGTTTAGAGGTTCACAAGTTTATTTAGACAATAAATACAGGAATGAATTTATAGTCCTTCCTGTACCCCTTCGCCTAACAAAACCAAAAAAGAAGAAAAAATCGAAACATTTTTCTTCACCCTCTCCCCCCCCCCGCCCTTTTTAAAATCATTTTGGTCTTATTTGCTGAATTGGGGAAAATAAATGATTTTTGGGAGAAAATCAACAACTTTTTAGGGAAAAAGTATCACAAAAGTTGCTTTTTAAATCAAATATTTATTATTTCCCCATCCGAATTCTGAAAAATATACAGCCCTGCAAAATATACTACTGAAAACTTAATAAAAATCTCAAAACTTTAATGGGACCTATTAAACGGTTGAATATGAAGGCGATACTTATAATTTTGTCTTTATTATATAAGTTGTTATAAAGGAAAAAATTTTATTAATAGCTTGAGAATCAAAAGCTTCATGTTCATAGGACTATACAAATTCATAACTTAACAGTCGTCTTCCTATTCCACAGTTTTAAGGGTTTGACAGTAGATTATCTGTAACAACCAAGAATGTATAATAAGATAAGATACTCTGAATGTTCTACAATGTAGTTGAAGACTACCTTTAAAGCAATGGACACTAAATCCTCATAATACGTCACTCAGAGGCGTAGTCAGGGGTGGGGCTAAGCTCCCCCTAGACCAGTGCAATCTTTGAATTTTAGGTGGTTTTTAGGCCCCAAGGGGTGCTGAGCCCCCTAGAACTAAAAAATGTAAGCTCTTGACACTGCTGTTGGCACAATTAATATTTGTTGAACGTGATGATTGTTAGCTAGGTATCATGTGACGCGTCCTATCAAGATTTAGAATGCCAATTGCAAGAAAGACGGCATTTACCTATATTGGAGCGCATCCAGAGTATTTAACCTTTTTATACAAACAACCTTGGTAATAACCGACCTATGTCTGAGTTGAGAAGACATGTTTTGGATTCTTGCTCTAGAAGGTTGCCACAGTCGGAATACGAGAAATAAATTCCATACTCCAGGGCTCTAGAAAATACAAATTAAAGGGACTGTAAGCTTAATTTCAAGGGACACTCTATTCAAAGAGGGGAATGTCCGATTAACAACAGTTACCCTTAAAACCTTTGTGTATTCGTCGTGTACAGATATGTAGTCGGCTAAAAGTGATGATGTGTTTACCTTTTATCTGAACTGAGGCCGAATTTAAAGAATTTAAGCCGCATCTCAAATCCGCTAAAACCGGTTTTAATTGAGCGCAAGCTTAAATCTTGAAACATTGAATACGATTTAAAGTGGAACAACCCATATTTGAGCCGCGGCTTTACATATTCGGCCTCAGAGTCTAAAACTAAAGATGAAAAGTTCCGAATTAAGTTTTCAGTTTCAGCTTAATTGCCCCTTCTGACTTTATTTAAACCTAAATTTTAACCCAAGGTTTAAATATTTAACTTGCCAAAATTGACGAGTTAGAATTTAAACCCAGGGTTGAAGTCTTGAAATCCAACATTTTCCATAATTGTCTTATCAATAAATCATCACTCAGCTGAGAAAGGGGCATTCAACTTTAAGTTATATTTAAAAGTAAAAACCTTGATTTAATTAATTAATTAATTTTTGTATGTAAACCCAAAAAACAGTTTTAACTGCAAATATGTTCGTTCGGATATGTATACATAATTTAAAATTTAAAAACAGCTGATGAGCGATGGTTGCGTAATATCTCTCCGTAAATCCTTTTCTCTGATTTGTTCAGATTTTTCCCGGGAAATTCAAATTTCCATTCAGGGTTATATTAAGAAAGTTTAATATCAAAGAAGAAACTCATTATTCTACACAACTTTTAAGCTATAACTTAAATTTCGAGCATTCTTTAGTTTTAGACTCTGCTATTTAAGTCTTCAATTTTCCTTAGTTTCTTAAACGGAAATTACTGGAATTTTTTTTGAAAATGTGCCAATTCGAAATTAAAAATCCGCCAAAATGATTTAAAATGGCCGACTTACAGATCAATCGTAATTTATACTTACTCAAGGGCAGGATAAGAGTACTTGAACACGTTTGCGAGAAATCCATTTGAGAGTTTTCCTATGCTTGATGGGAACAGAATACTACTCATCCCAAAATCTAGTTATTGAATAGTTGTCATAACAAATGAACTAACGTTTGAACAAATATTTGGGGTTCGTCCTAGAATACGATTAAGGATGACCCATTGAAGGAGGCCTAAATGTCAAGAAAACCAAGATGCTCAGGATCCATTCCCTTATGACGGGGATCCGAATTTTTCTAGGAAACTTTTCATTTTTTTCCGTTTCATTTTAGACTTTTTTATGCAGAACTTATTAGTCAACTTTTAGAATCTTTATTTTGAGAAGTTATTATTGCAGATTATGGTTGATATGTTGCCCCCTGGATCCTCATTTACTTGAAGATCCAGAAAGCTAAAATGAAGCGAATCCGCGTCCCAAGAACCGCCTTTTAGAGATCTGAAGCACATTTTTGATTGAAAAATAATATTTAGTAAAATCGTAATTGTTGGTTAACCTACATCATGCAGTTCGTTAACCTTAATTTAAAAAATTCAAGAAATAAATACTTACAAGTTGCTTTAAATGATTCTCTTAGGTGATGGTAAGCATGTTCATCATAAACAACTTTACAGCCTCTAGGTACCACCATATCACGCAAAAACTAAAAAAAGATAAAGGGGGTAGATATTTTATTAAAAAGCTTTTTTTCTTCACCCCATGAAGTATAATAATTTCCATTCTATAGTTCTCTAAGCGTAAAAATATACACTCTTTAATCCTCAGAGCGTGTCAGAGTATACAGTCTGTAATGCTCGGAGCGTGCAAGAATATACATTCTTTAATCCTCAGAGGGTGTAAGAATAAACATTCTGTAATGCTCGGAGCGTGCAAGAATAAACATTCTGTAATGCTCGGAGTGTGCAAGAATAAACATTCTGTAATGCTCGGAGCGTGCAAGAATATACATTCTTTCCCCCCTGACCGTGTCACAATTTTCCATTCTTACACGGTCTGCTGAGCGTTAAAGAATGAAAATACTCATATATTCATTCTAGAACGCTAGAAAGCTAAATAAATATTGTCAACATTTTCTCCTGAGCTGTGTAACTATGGGAATTCCTACACAATAGGGTTACTACTATGGAACCTAACAGATCATTATTCTGAGAAAACCCAAAAATGTAAAAAATTAAAATAAAAAAAATGTATAATACAATACAGTGCTACTTCTATGAAACACCCTGGAACTATAGTTAATTTGTTAAATGTTTTCAAGATAGATGAAACAATTGTTTAGATTAGATGAAATAGAACCGATTATGCAGTAATTGGATAAGTAAAATTAATCTAATCTACCTTTGTCCCCAGGACAGGCTGAGACTCCAGTAGTCGTTTGTAGCAAGCTGATAGGAAAAACTTGCATCCTACCATAACCAGACAATCTTTCAGTGTTATGTAGGACTGTAAACGTAATTTCGGGTAAACCTCTATTGATATTCGGTTTTTGGTGGACACTCATTGGTGGTGGTTTCATACAATGACTGAACCAAATACTTTGAATGTTCTGACCCTGCGAGAAATGAAATAGGTTTAGTTGAGTTCTAAATCTCCAAAAATGGGCTAATATATGCTTTTTCAAAAAGGGGGCTATCCCTTGCGAGTTAAGACTGAATTCATTGATTTTAGAGTTAAGGATCGTCTGTTCCCTTCATAAATTTCAGCAATCATGAAATCTTCCTCCAATGTAAAGCCCAAGTAGGGAATCTGAAAATAAGATCAATCAATCAACCAATCAATCAATCAATCAATCAACCAACCAACCAACCAACCAACCAACCAACCAACCAACCAACAAGTCAGTCAACGGGACAATCAATTAACTAGTCAGTTCACTAATCAGTAAATTAATCTACGGATCATAGGACCAATGAAAAAATGAAGGAATTAATGATTCAATTAGCTAATTAATGATCAATCAATGATTCAATAAATAATCAATCAATCCTATCGGGGAAGTGATTTTTTATAAGTAGAGATTAAAGGGCAAGCCTACTAATTCTTCTAATACATTTTACCTAAAATATCAAATATTTTCCCTTCTTCATTTGTATTCCCCATGCATTTCAACGTAAAAAAAAACTTTCTCCGCCCTATCATGGACAACATATGGGAAAAAATTATTTCCAGAAGTGGCATGATTTTTAAAGAAAATATACACCCCTGATATAAGCATAATTCTACCTTAAATTTGTTTACTTGAATGATTGGATTACTAAGCCTTTGACGCTTTCTTAACTCTGTTGAGGTTTTTTCTCGTTCCTGCGACCTGGATCGTTTCTTCAGACTAGCGGCAGGGAACGGCGGTAGGGAAGGAGACTTGCTCACGATGACAGAAACTGTTGAAATTTTGAAATAAATGTTGTGAAATTGATTTGATCAAATTTAAATGTAATATTTCTCGTTAAAAAGATCTGAAATAAGTGCATTTTAGACTCATGATACTTTCGAGATCTTTATTAAAAATAAATTTGCTTTATACATGCAAAAATAACTTCTATATTTTAATTCAAATTGCCTTGGTTTAGAGGTACAACAGATTCTTTGGTTACAATACTTCTGCCAGTGGCAGATGTTTTCACATTTTCTTCACCATGAACGGCTGCCATCACCGCGTTCAGAGGGGAAATAATATTTTTGGTAGAAATGCTGATTTCATTCGCGGATTTTGAAGATTCAGGACGAGTATTAAGGAGCACTGAACCGGTATTGATAGATATTTTTATATTTTGTGACTCTGGAACAATATGGTTGGGACTGGATATAGGAACCAGTGAAGGTCGTCGTTGATTCATGAGCCCTGAAACTCCCGACACTGAAATCGCAGTACGAAGCCCTGAACTTCCAGATGAATGATTTTCTAGGAGAACGGAAGGCCTTTGGTTGCTAGCTGACGGTTGAATAGAAGTAGATGCTAAAGTAGGCATAGATTGAGTAGGAGCAGGGGCTAAAGTAGGACAATGTTGAGCTGGAAGAGAGGGTACAGTAGGACGGGGTTGTGTAGAAGAGGACGGAGTAGGGCAATGTTGGGTAGGAGAGGAAGGACTGAGACGAGGTTTCTTACAGATAGCGGACCAGGGAGCAGCAGAAATAAACCTTAAACACAATGGACATTAATTCCAAAACTAACACTTGGCCCATTTCTAACACTGAGTGTTAGAAACGGGTACACATTGAAAGACTGGGTGTTTGGATTCCCGTCCTACATCCAGAGTAAAAGTCGATAGTAAAAACTATAACCAAAATTTTATTTAACAAGACGATTGGACAACAATTCCCAATTTAAATCTTTTTAAATCAAAATTATAATAAGAGTTCTTTTTACAAGAAAATGTCAGGTTTTCCATTTGAATTTGAAACATTGTCGCGTTTTCGAGACAAACCTACTATACCGTTTTTAAGTATAATCCATGATTCAAAACAAATTTCACGTTCATAACTTACAAAATAAATCACAGAAAACAAAAATTATATTATGAAGAACTTCTAAATTATTTCTAGAATCTAAGTTTCACATTTTATCTGTTAAAATACAGAATATCGATGATTTATTTTCAAGCATTTTAAGCAAACAGTTTCCAGCATTTTTAGTTAAATCTATATTGTAAGAACCAACGATACTAATATTTTGATTTCTCAATGCTTTAATGATTTTTAGATTATAAAAAAAAGTTTGCTTTTATTTTTTGTTAATGTTTCAAAAAATATTATTTTGTTACGTAAGTGCGTAAATGCATTGACATTGATTCCGGTAATTGTCTCAAAACCCGGATATGTTCAGAAAACGTGATATGAGCTGAAATCCGGTAATTGTTTCAAAATAGGGAAATGTTCGAAAATGCAATCAAGAATCATCAAAAACTAATTCTCACACCTTATTATTAAATTAATGTTGACATTTATTGCTTCAATATATAGTTTTACCCATTTTTTATAAGTATACGGTGTAATTTTGTTCTACTCGTCTTGGATTTAAAGATATACTCACGAAAAGATAACTTTGCAGATTTGGCCCATTTCTAACACTCAGTGTTAGAAATAGGCCAAGTGCTAGTTTTGGAACTACTATCCCCTGAAACATGAAAGACGTTGTTTTTGATATTTACTCCAAACTAAGATAATTTATATTTAACCCCAAAAAATTATTATTATTTCTCCTCCCAAGCATTAAAGGGAGTGTTATAAAAGTTAGAACTTCTTAGAGATAAAACAATTCACATCCAACAAGCATGTTTTATTTTTCCTTTAACCGATAGCTAACCCTTGAAAAAATCCACTTCTTATGATCCATTTTGTTTTGATCATCCGTCTGTAATGAATTGATCCAATCTCAGCTCATATAAAATCTTTCCCTCTGGTAAATAATTTATGAAAAGCATATTTATTTATCAAGTAAAATTTCCAAAACGTTTGTCATTTCTCAAGCCAGGCTAGTTTTGAGGATCCGGATCCAAGGATAAAGTGATGAGGATCCGGAACTAAAGACCACAGCCCTGGGGGTGACATTGAGTTTTAATGCTATTTATAATTATAAAAAATGCAAGTTTTCTCATCCTTTTGTAACTTTCTCCCAGAAATTCTTTTATTTTTTCACTATTCCTAAACCCTGTAGATCATCTTGAGAAAAAATATTTTCAACTGGGAAGGAATTGATCTTTGAAATAATCTACACCCCTGAAAATCCGGTAGAGTTCAGGACATGTTTTATATAACATACATAAATAAAAGACGAATTTACTACCTTTGACTGGGACTATAATGGTGACGGAGAGATGAGTCTTGAACGGAGCTGGGACGAGGTTCCGCTACCATCGAACGAATGTGAATTGAGGGGATGTGGTTGGACGAAGGACGAATATATCTAGGTCTATCCTTGCTTCCTAGCACCTGAGGTTTAATGTGACGAGGCAGTTCTTGGACTTGTTGCCGCGCATGATACAGTTGGCGGTGGGGCTCGGAGCTGTAAAACTGTGGCTCGACAATTTCGATTGTTTCAGTAATCTCCTCACCGCGTTGGGTTGAAAAAATCTCAGTCTCCTACAGCATTTAAGAAATAAAATTGAGTCAGAATTTTAAATTCAAGAGCTAAAATAAGGTGTATGACAATTGACGAATGCAGGGTTTACTAATATCTATTGTTACTAGGCTATCGAAGCACCACATTTCTGTTTTAACTATTAATTGTTACTTTTATTCATCACCATTTTTTTCTGTAATATAAAACAAAAATAATTTTTTTTACGAATTTACAATTTTTTTTCGTGGATTTTAAAAATAAAAAATTAAGAATGTTGAAAACACATTTTTGTAACTCTGAGCTTACCCAGTTCTTTCCTGCTATCATGTGAGATCCCACACAAAATTTGGGCCCAATTGGTTCAGCCGTTTTGACGTTTATTGGATACAAATAGACAAACAAACAAACAGACACTCAGACAGACAAACCATCATGTCTCCCATATCAAATATTTTCCAATAATAAAGGGTTAGGAGTAGATTAATATCTATCCTATCCTTCCCGAAAGGGCCAAACATTTTTGAAACTTTAATGTCCTGGGAAACTCGAAATCAAATTCGATTTATCAATTATCAAATGAAAAGGATTAGTTAAATAATCACCTTTCTTCTAAACTCTTCTTCAAAACATAGATCAACCAGTTTTTCTATATCTATCTTCCTCTCGGGAACCTCCTGAACAATACACTTAAAGAGTGTCATGCCCGATTCACAATGGCACCAATTAAACCATTATCTCATCAGTAGCGAAGAAGATATTGTCGTTTTTGAATCATAAGAAATGTTGAATTACGTATATTACGTTCACTGTCTTTGCTGCATAAAGCCGCAATAAGAAATCATCCAAGAATACCGAGGTTTCAGAATACTGAGGTTTAAGGATACCGTTGGAAAATGGGCATGCCGGTCTTTCAATGGACGGTCATTTAAGAGGTCTAAATTTGAATTATAGCACGCCAAATATTTATAATTCCTCATTAGTTAGCTCGGAAATGATCAATAAAACATTTATTCGACAAATTATCTCGTTTTTTTTTAAATATGGCATTAAATAAGGTCAGTTTCGTAGCGTAATACAATAAACTTCGTCCCCCGAGGCAATTTGTATCATGCCAGTCAAAATAAGGCAACAAAAAAAGACAATAAAGCAAAAAGCATTCTGGTGTTAGGGATAGGGGAGGGTAAGAGGGGAGAGGTGTAAAAATATAAAAAAAAATGCTGATATTGATTAACGAGCTTGGGAATACCCTAGATAACCTCCCGTTAAAATATCGTATTAAAGTTACTTTACCTGCAAAGGTTCGTTAATCTCGTCGTTTTCAACAATAATCTGACCGTTCTCAACTACCAGCCGCTGACCGTTTTCCATAATCAACCGTTGACCCTCCTCGAGTACGACCGGTTGATGACCGGCGACCGGTTGAAGACCATGAATCCCTTCGGCTGTATGATGTTCAAACTAAGAATTGGAAAGCTCAAAAAAATCTTACTTTTATAAGTAATAAAAAAAAATTCCATTAATGTTAAGTATCAAAAATAAAAATCTAATATTTATTTTAAAAAAGGCGAGAGAAAAATCAGTGAACGAAAAAAAATAAAAAACATAAAGAGTTACCCACAAAGAATGAGACTAAGACACAACTGTGCGGAAATTATTCAGTTTATTTCCTCCTATTCACGACACTTTAATTTAACCCTGGGATCGTCACTAGATCGTCTTTACAGTCTCATCCTGAGTGGGTCACCCTGTAGTAAAAATATATGTAATAGGTTTAATAGGTTTCCCAGAATAAAAGAATAGAATTATTTTAAAAATTTAAAATAATAATTAAGAATTAATAAAAATCATTTTTGAGTCTTACATCTTGAGCAAATTGATGCATCGTTGAAATATCTTCCACCTCCTCTATACTAAATAATAAATATTCTTACTAAATAAATGAACAGAAATCGAAACCGAATAAATCGAAGAAACGGAAGAAACGGATAAACGAAAACCAATAAAAAATAAACGGATAAACGGAAACTGGATAAACGGATAAACGAATAAACAAACGAACAATCGAATAATCGAATAATCGAATAATCGAATAATCGAATAATCGAATAATCGAATAATCGAATAATCAAATAAACAAATAATCAAATAAACAAATAAATGAATAAACGAATAAACGAATAAAAAAATAAACGAATAAACGAATAAATGAATAAAAGAATAAATGAATAGATAAAAATGAATTACCTATGCCTAGGATTGGTGGAGTTACGTTCCTGCTGCAGCCGAAGATATTCATGAATAATCTAAACAAAATTAAAAACAATTAATAGATAAAATCTAAAATTGATCTTGCCTTTATTAAGCGGCATATCCAATTCACTGTAGTATCTTTTAAACCTATGTCTCAGGAAACCTGATTGGAGTTAGTCTTTGATTAACTAATTGAAACTTAGATAATTTTCTATTTTAGTTTACTGTTAAACTTATTGCTATTACAATCAAGCTACAGGATATTGTTGTGAATCAGACACCTTCTCCTCAAAACCAATCATGGAACTTCTTAAAAAAATTCATAAGGGGGAGGGGATGATTTTTAGAGAAAATATAAACCCCTGGCTCCCGAAAATCGAACTCACCCTGTGATCCTCATTTCTTGAATCAAATTGGACACCGGGAGCAATTCTTGGAACTTCCGCCACCTCCTCCTGCTGTCCTGTTGCTGCTTCAGGAGCAATACGTTCTTCATCTCCAACAATCCGTTCGTCGTCACCAACAATCATAGATTCCTGTGCATCCATTCGCCTCAGCTCTTCAGTACTACTCTCCTCTACTCCTATTAATCTGGAATCATCTTTATCTAATTTAATCTTTCGTTTCTCCGCCTTCGGAATCCTTTCAACCATCTGCCCATCTTCAGTCCTCGCCTTCTTGACATCCGCCTTCCGTTGACGGTTATCCGCCTTAGTTTTATCATCGGCTTCAGATATTGGCCTCGCTTCTAACCCCGTTTCACTAGAATATTTAAATAAAAGACAAGGTTTGCGAATTGGCGCAAATTTTCTTTGGAGTTGATTTGTAGTTAAAACCTTACAATCCTCGAACATCCTTGAAATCATCTCTGGATTGTTCAGCAGATTGACCCATCCGACATTTCAAAACGAAACCCGTTAGCCTATGGCTTGAAAATATTCCCTATCTTATTTCATATTTTAACTTTAGTTTCCAGGATATTTTGATTTTTAGTTCAACAGTTAGTCTGACATTAATTCCTAGATGGGCGAGTTTCTCAAGAAAAATTGACGAAATAAGTAAACATTTAATCCTATTGAACATTAACAAAAGATCAAGATCAAGCATTGTTCAATGTTCATGATATCCACCATATTGTGGATCCCACAATACACGAGCCCCCACCTCTGGTTAATTTAATAATTTGATGATTACGATTAATAACAAATAATACGTTATAATCAAACATTTTATTTAAGACATTTAAATAATTTTTTTCTTCTGAAAATTAAGCCAACCTGATGTCCTCTTCCTGTGACTGTTCTGCTATAGATCTATCAAGGCTACTGTCAGGTTCCACCTCCAATGATTTAAAATGCAATTATTAAAATGAAAGTGTAAAAAATCAATGAGGTAGGATTTTCAAATTTAAGTGTTTATTGGACTAATTATAGTCACAACCGGAGTTTAAAAGTCGTCTTCCTTTCAGGGATATTTTAGACTGTCGGCTGTATTTACCTGGATAAGTTCTCCTGTAATCTCCTCTTGCCTACTCTGGTACTCCTCAGACTCTACAACTAGGAAATCAACAGTTAAAGAAACTCTGTACAGTAAGGAAGGTCGATTTCTAATGAATTGTAAACTAAATTCATAATTGCTTCATTCAGATTTGTAGGGACTGGGAGCATAAACATTTGAACAATTTTAAGAAAAAAGAATTTTTTCTTCTGCAAAATCAATTTTAGTACGGTGATAAGCGATATTATATCAATATAATGAAGACGACTTTCTATTTCAATTTTGATTTAAATCAAGCTTTTTATCAGCATGGATACACAAAAACAAGGAAACGAGAAGCTGTCAATTAAAAAAGATTATCTTTAATTACTTGTGAACTTGTAATTCTAAAAGAGCTTGTTAATACTAAAACTTAGATAAACATGTCGTATTCATTATAATGTTATAATCCCCAACCACCGTAGGACGAATTAGACTAAGAAAAAAATTAATTAAAATCCCACAAATAAACAAAAAATAATTCTTCAGAAAATTTATGAAATTTTATTTTTGCTGGCGCCATTTTACGGCATGACAAATGAAAACACATCTCCAATTCCCATTTAGCCTTAATCCCAGCATATGGGAGATAAATAACCAATGAGTGTAGTTTAAGAGGTAGCACAATAACCTGTTCATGCCACTCACTTTATTCACTTTACTCACTTTACTCACTTAAAGTGTGAAAAAATGTCAAACCCCATATATTAATGCTCATTGCTCATTGTTCAAAATAATTCTTTCTCCATCTCATTTATTTTTAGACTATTTTTACAGTGTGATGTGACAAACAGTAATTAGGATCCATTTAATTTGCACACGCGGATCCGAATCCTGGATCCGCACTGTAAAAAATGGATCCGGATCCAGGTCATGAACATTTCTTTAAGATTTACTGATTAAGAAGAATTTTCAAATTTTTTGTTTGTTATTTTTATGCTAAAACTAAATAAACCAATCAGAATTGTGGAATTTTTTTTATAATCTCTTTTTTCTCAACAGTTCAGCTTTGGGTTTTGAGAGCCTAAGATTTTTTTTCTTTCAATTTCTCCTACCTTCCTCCACTATAGGAGCCTCACTGAACTCAGCTATAGTGACAGGTTCAAATGTTTGGCTGCCAGGATGGAAAATATAATAGGTCTGTTGCCTCACAGGTTGGGCACCTACAGACAGGGGGATATAATAATAATATTAATAATATTAATTATTTTGATAATTTTGATAATTTTAATAATTTTAATAATTTTAATAATTTTAATTATAAAAAATTTCTCGTAAGAGCCTTATTATGGAACCCCCAGAAGTAATCAAAGTTATAGGCCAGAGATATGTTTGGAAACATTGATTAAGCGAAAAATATATTAATTCAAAGAAGGGTGAAGACGACTTTTGATTTGCATCAGCGTAGAGAAATTTCATAGAAATACATTTAATAGATAGTACATTTCATAGATGAGACATTTCATTTCATGGACAGAGGAGATTTTTTATAATTTTATAATTTGTTTTTTTAAGAACTTCTTTCATCTGTGAAAACCTTTCCGTCTATTTAAAAGTTTAAAGTTTTAAGTTTTTATTTTTAAGTTACTCATAGTTACTCCCGCCATTTACCCGCGTTGCCAGTGAAATAAAAAAAATATAATTTATAATGTAAATCTCCTCTGTTTACGGAAAATCTTCTCTATGAAATTTCTATGAATTGTCTATATAATGTCCTATCTATGAAATGTCCTTCTATGGATGGTCATTGAGGGTCACTTAAATTAAGCTTACAGACCCTTTTAGACAGGAGACAATATTAGACCTTTAAATTGTGAGATTAATGAGTTTTTGGTTGTCATTACAATTTCATCTTTTGTGGGTAATCCAGTAGAGAACAATTTTTATTGACACAAGGGGGGGGGGGTAATGTTTTTATTGATATAAGGGGGGTGGGTAATGTTTTTATAATGAATTATGATTTTTATTAAAATATATCCCCCTGCCTGACGATATATGAATACCGGTCTCTTCCATTTCAGCTAGCTCATCTTAAATATATCATTTTTGTTATTGTTGTCAACATAATTGGTCATCATGATCATCATCGATAATCATTTTTATCATGATGATTATTATGGTCATCATTATAATCATATGTCATTATCATCATTATCATCATGTCATTTTCATCATTATCATCATTACCATCATTACCATCATTACCATCATTACCATCATTATCGACATTATTAACATTATTGACATTATCGACATTATCATTATTATCATCATTATCATAATTATCATCATTATCATCATTTTCATCATTATCACCATTAACATCATTATCATCATTAATATCCTTATCATTTTTATCATCATTGTCATCACTATCATCACTTAAATCACCTTGAACTCCTTCCTGTTCTCCAGGTCTAAGCTCAAGAACAACCTTCTTCCTTCCCTCCAATGCCTGAAATATCTATTTCAAAATTCATGTTTTTAAAAAGGATTTTTTTTTCCCTGAAAGTTACCTACACTAAATTGCCGAAAGAGGAAGACCAAATGCAATCTTAAATGTATTTGATATTGTTTAAAAGTAGACAGTTATTTTTTCAGTAGCTTGAACATCAACTTATTAAATGAAATGGGTCAAGATCCAAGAACTTTTCCTTCCTTGTCAAAATCAAAAAAATGATGCCAGCCCAGTACACTGTACAAATTAAATGTTTCATGTTTTTGGATTGTTCTGTCTCAAAAAAATTCAAAGTTGTCTTCAAATTCGACTCGTTTGTTGGTCCCACTATTTATCCAAAAATTAAATCAATTTTGCCTCAGCTTCGGCATTAACTAAGAATCTATAGCAAAATAAATAATAAAAATTTGCTAAAAAAAGGGTTTTAATATGTATTCAAACCAGGGTATAATTTTCTATCAATTTTTAATGTTAGCTTTGAAACATATTGTGCAAGTTTTGAAGAATCAGAATAATTTTCGAAAGATTATATAAGATTAAAAGGTCTTTAAAATACTTTTTGTACTTATGAGCATCCATAAAACTTCCCTGGGCCATGGGGTCATATGAGGTCCCAGAGAAATGTTGTGTCGGATGTGTGCAGTAGTTTTGACGTTTATTGGATACAAACGGACAGACAGACCAGCAAAGTACAAACACAGATTATTAGCTAAGGAAAACCTGTGGTTTACTTCTCCTCCTGTCTACTTTTATTACCTGGAGGAGAAGAGAGCTATCAATCTTTCCATTGCTACCGAGGGGGACCTGATACTGAAAAAAAATCATTCTTTATATCTTAATAGCTCCGCCCCCCCCCCCCCCTGGGGCGGAGAGTGTCCCAGGTCCACAAGAATCCAAAAGTGGTAAATATTTGAATACTGAAATACTTTTAAACAATTTTTGTGAAATTTTGTTTTTATCTTTTATAAAAAAAATAGTTTTTAAAATATCATAATTCTATCTATACGGAAGAAATCGGAAAAAGTCTAGCTAAAAAGTCTAAAAATATCTCATTAAACCAAAAATGTTGATCCAGGAAACTTATTACAATTTTTTTTAAAAGATGTCTTATTTTTTAAAAAGAAAAAAATTATCAATCCACAAAATGTTTTTATCCGCAAAAAAAAAATTTGTAAAAACTTGAACATACAAAATGAATATTGAAAATTCATCCCCCTGGGGGGGGTTTAAAATGAAAAATATGCACCCCTGGCGTATCCAGTATATTAGATTAAAAATATGTAAATGTTTTGTTAAAGTGACCCTTTATTCGACGAGTGGCAATGTCCGATTCTCAAATGGTATCCGTTAAACTGAGATCTGATTAAAGATGACATTTCTTCCTCATGCTTGCTCAGATTACGATTTACATTTTGGCGCACTTTAAATGAAGGGTGACTTGAAATTAAGCAAACATTTCCTCTAATTGGACTAAAGAATCAACCATTCTTGAAATAACATATCCATTAATCCAGTATCCACCCTGGGGTTTTTATTTAAATTATTTTATAAAATACCCCCCCCCCCCTTTATCTCATTCATTCCCCCAAGGATAAATTATTTACTCCAAAAATCTGGAAAAAATCTGCGTTAAATTTTTTTTTTTTTTTAACTCGAGATTGATGACGGATCTGCAGGATTTAACGGGATCCGTTGGATCCTGCAGCAGCAAAAAAATGCGAATCCAAGGATCCGGATCCATGCAGGACAAAATATTAACTACTGCAAAATCAACTTTTTCTCTCAAAACCCAAATCTGAATAAAAAAGTTAAATATTTCGGAATATTTTAAGTCGTAGAACAAAAATAAGCGATAAAAAAGAAGAAAAATAATTTAAAGATTCCTCTTTATTTATCGAATCAGTAAATCTTAATAATAAATGTTCATGACCTGGATCCGGATTGTGATCGCATCAAAAGTACATGGATTCCAAGCTCTGGGCCTACCTGTGTTAAAACTTCATCGTCTCCAGCATCTCCCTTCTTCTTGACACTAGCATCTACCAGGGAAGGCTTCATCCCAACAGCCAAACATCTAAAGAAGTTTTAAATATTACTAGCTGAAATGTCCGGCGTTGCCCGTGGAATTGAAGAAATTCATAAATCAAAAAATTTTTAACATCAAATTTAGATGAAAAAGTTTGATTTTTGGACAAAAAAGTTCGAATTTTGTAGCCTATTACTTTGAATTTTACGAAGAATCTGTTTGATCTATTAATTTTGAATAACCGCAATTTCTCTGTTCTCATTGGTTGACCTAAAATGATTGACTGCTCGATTTCCACATACGGCACTCTAATTGTTTGAATTTTAGGCACTTCACTGGATATCAAATAAAGATTAAATTAATCTGTTGGTAGAGAAACCAAATATCGAGATCAAACATAATCCCGACATCCACAATGCAGGAGTTCCCAAATCATTACAAACTATTGAAACACATTTCAACAATTCAGTAATTTTTTATTTCAGAAATAGGAAAGGAATGATTTTTACAAAAAAAATAACCCCTGAATATAATAATAATAATAATTCCTTACCTCTCGTATCTGCATCGTTTACAGTTTGTTCTTGTAATGCTGTTAACCTGACAGCCATAGTCTCCACGAACACAGGCGTAGGTGCGGGTTATCCCACGCCGGAAGAAAGCTCTAAAATAACTCTGTTTAAAGGGACTGTAGGCAGAATTTCAAGATCGACCCAATCATTGCAATATCTGATTTACAACGATACCCTTGTGACCTTAGTATGATAAAAAATGTGTAAAATGCCGTCGTTTTCTTGACTGGATAAGTGTTTAATTCTGTTACCTTTTCCTTTGCTTTTAAAAGCAAGAAATGCGCAAGAATTTAAAGAAACAAAACACGGATTTCTACTTTATACTTGATCCGACATAACAATGGTACCGTTGTAAATCAGACATTGCTTTCTTTGGATGGAAGGTCTCTTGAAAGTACAATTACAGTCTCTTTATCCTCGTCTTCCATATAGACATGCGTAGAAATGTGAGAAACAATTTATATAAATCTACAAAAACTCGGTAATATTTGAATCTTGATTATCATAATTAGATGATAAGGAACAGTGTAAAATATTCAATTTTAAACCGCAAATAAAATTTAATAAGCCCTTGACAACAAATGTTTCCGAGGTCTGAAGTTTTGTGCTAAATATCCGTACTGGGGTGAGGATATTCAAGAGAAATTACTTTAATTCGGCCTTCAGACATAATAAGATATTGATAATGTAACAGATTGGTTAATTTAGAGATTAACAACATAGTTCTGACTTCAGATAATTTCAAATCATTAGTGGCATGCACAACGGTAACCTTAAATGCTTTATGTTAGTGACAAGCACAACAGTAACCTTAAATGATTTTTGTTAGTGGCATGCACAACGGTAACCTTAAATTCTTTACATTAGTGGCATGCACAACGGTAACTTTAAATGCTTTATGTTAGTCGCATGCACAACGGTAACCTTAAATTCTTTACATTACTGGCATGCACAACAGTAACCTTAAATGCTTTATGTTAGTGGCATGCACAACAGTAACCTTAAATGCTTAACATTAGTGGCATTCACAACGATAACCTTAGATGCTTTATGTTAGTGGCATGCACAACGGTAACCTTAAATGCTTTACATAAGTGGCATGAACAACGGTGACCTTAATTGCTTTACATTAGTGGCATGCACAACGGTAACCTTAAATTCTTTACATTAGTGGCATGCACAACGGTAACTTTAAATTCTTTACATTAGTGGCATGCACAACAGTAACCTTAATGCTTTATGTTGGTTGAATGCACAACGGTAACCTTAAATGCTTAACATTGGTGGCATGCACAACGGTAACCTTAAATTCTTTACATTAGTGGCATGCACAACGGTAACCTTAAATTCTTAACATTAGTGGCATGCACAGCAGTAACCTTAAATGCTTAATGTTGGTGGAATGCACAACGGTAACCTTAAATGCTTTACATTAGCGGCATGCACAACAGTAACCTTAAATGCTTAACATTGGTGGCCTGCACAAAGGTAACCTAAAATGCTTAACATTAGTGGCATGCACAACAGTGACCTTAAATGCTTAAAATTAGTGGCATGCACAACGGTAACCTTAAATGCTTAACATTAGTGGCATGCACAATGATAAACTTTAATGCTTTACATTAGTGGCATGCACAACGGTAACCTTAAATGCTTAAAATTAATTGCACAACAGTAACCTTAAATGCTTTAAATTATCAAAAATGAATGCAATCCCAATCATTGTATTACTCAAAATTGATTATTTTAAATTGTGGCTTCATAATGCTTTCGGATTTCAGTTGCAGAACGTATCAGAATCAATTAAAAAAAAGAAAATGTTACTTTGTAAATCGTTTATGTCACTTTATAAAAAGAGGACGATTTGAAATTACTTCTACAGTCCCTTTAAAAGAGAAGCTTACCTGCAAGAGTAGCAGCAGACGGCTCCATAGTGCGTATGCGCAGCAGAAGCTCCTCCACAGACAAGGCAGCAGCTCGTCAAAGTTAAAGCTCGGGCTGAAAAATATAAAAATCAATCTGCAAGAAAACTTGAATTTCTGAGCTAAATTACAAAACTAAACTTTTCCTCCCAAATTAAAATGATTCAAAAGTAAAAATAAGAAAAAATTTAAGCTTAAAAAACAGTGCTTGGGATCCATTTAATTTTGATGCAGATCCGAATCCAGAATCCGCACTGGAAAAAAATGGATCCAGATCCAAATCCGAATCCGGATCCAGGTCAATTCTTAAAGATTGTTTGAATTTTTTTATCAAAAGATAATTTTCAACTTTTTTGTTCTATTTTTTTCGCTTATTTTTATCCTAAAACTTGATACAACCATTCAAAAATGAGGAAATTTTTATAATCTCTTATTTTCCAAAAGTTCAGATCGGTTTTAGGATTTTTTTTTTTCAGTTTATGGTAGATATTTTACCCCTTAGATCCGGATCCGTGAATCCGCACATTTTTGCGGATCCGGATCCAGGAAGCCAAAATCTTGCGGATTCAACAGATCCGGATCCTAAGCACTGCAGTTAAAAAAAACTAAGCCTTAAACATAAAAAAATTCCTTTTTATTTGTTTTACCAATAGAAGCAGGTGTTTTTTCCTTCGGCATATTTTCTTACATCATTTAGTTAATTTCTGAAAAAATTATTGTTGGTAAATTCAAGAATTTTTTCAATCTGAATAAAAAAATAACATTTTCAGTCTGATCAGTGCACACTGTACACTGCACACTTCTCTCATTACTGTACAAGGGTTAATCAATCATCTAATCTATCAATTAATCAACTAATCAAAATAATGTCATTAGTGAACTTCGCCCTAAACCAACTTAATTCTAGTGGGCCTGTCATTAACCAATTTTTATCCAACGGGCGTGTCATTTATCGACTTCATCCTAGTGGGCGTGTCATTAACAACTTTATCCTAATGAGCGTGTCATTAACCATTTCGATCCCAGTGGGCATGTCATTCACCAACTTCATCCTAGTGGGCGTGTATATAATCAACTTGGTGAGTGTGTCATTAACAAACTTATCCGGGTGGGCGTGTCTTAAACCAACTAAATCCTGGTGGGCCTGCTTCTGTAGTTAACCCATTTCATCCGGCTGGGCGTGTCTATAATCACCTAAATCCCGGTGGGCCTGTCTCTGTCATTAAACACCTTCATCCGGTTACACGTAGCTATAATCAACTTTACTTGGTGGACGTGTCATTAACAAACTTTATCCGGGTAGGTGTGTCCTAAACCAAATAAATCCTGGTGGGACTGCCTCTGTCATAAACCAACTTCATCCGGGTGGGCATGTCCTTAACCAACTTCATCCTAGCAGGCATGTCATTAACCAGCTTCGTCTAAGTGGGCGTGTCTATATTCACCAAAATCCTGGTGGGCCTGTCTCTGTCATTAAAAAACTTCAACCGGTCGGCGTGTCTATAACCAACTAAATCCTTGTTGGGATATGGCATCAGTCAGTAATCCAGGTCAGCTAAAAACTAAACTATTTTTAAAAATTTCAAATATTACGAATGCACAGTTCATTAATGTTTTGATTTATTAAACAACATTAAAATTATTAGAATTCTTTTTAACAAATGATACCAGATAATCATTTGTTTTTAGAAAAATACCAGAAATTTTTTTTATGCGACACCCTTGATAAACAAGTGATTAGGTAATGGGTTACAGTGAACATTGAAGATTATGCATCGTAATAATAACAGGTGTTACAGGAATATTTAAAAACTTCTAGTAAAAATTACCCCGCATACACCCTGTAATAAAAATAAATATCGTAGTTGACCCTAACCTTGTTAATATATTTTTGTATTTGAATGCGCTGACCGCTACACCGGTCCGGGCAGTAATATTATCCTTTAAATAAATGTTAGTTCGATGTAAAACTTGTCTTATTGAGGACAGGAAGAGAGTATAGAGTTATTTGTGCCCTTTGAGTACTTGAAGTTTATCCGGAGAGACGGGCCAGGGTTGAACCCTGATCTATTCACATGGGACTAGAGGGGATACAGAGGAACAAGGGAGGCTACAAGGGACTAGGAGGATACAGGGGGACTAGGGTGGACGTGGAAACAAACGGACAAGGGGGGATACAGAGGAATAAGGGGGATATAGGGGGACTAGGGGATACAGCAGGGGACTTGGAGGATACAGAGGGACACAATGGAGTAGAGGGATACTGAGGGACTAGGAAATATAGCAGGGGACTTGGGTGGATACAGAGGGACAAGAAGTATACAATGGACTAGGGGTATGCTGATGAACTAGGGCGATACAGGGGGATACAGAGTGACTAGATGGATACAGCAGGGGGACTTAAGGAATACAGAGGAATTGGGTCGAAACAAAGGGACTAGGGGGAGATACAGAGGAACAAGGGGGGATAAAAGGGCCTGGGGGATACAAAGGGACTAGGGGGGTAAAGGTGGACAGGGGGATACAGATGGACTCATTCGACATGGAAACAAACGGACAAGGGGGATGCCGAGGAATAAGGGGGATACAGAGGACTAAGGGGGAAACAGAGGACTAAGGGGGAAACAGAGGAACTAGGGGGATGCAGCAGGGGACTTGGGGATACAGTGGGACTTGTTTTAAAAAGTGACTAGAGGGATACAGCGGGACAAGAGATGGGGGGTACAAAGGGACTAGGGGAATACAGTGGGGCAAGGAGAAATACAGGGGTACAGGGCGACAAGGGGGATAAAGGGGGATACAGGGGACAAGGGTGAAACACGGAGAAAAAAGTGACAGGTTAACACATAATATCCCCCTACAAGTATTTCTATTAATAGTTGATAGAATTTGAAATATAAATATTTCCAAACCTACAAGATTGGAGAGGTTACTAGGTTACTCTGTACGTACGTTACTCACGCAGTCGAGTTAGAATAGTTCTTTCTTTATTGATACTGTTCCAGCATCTAGCACAAGGCCCCCCCCCCACGCAATAAAAAAGTAGACTGGTAGAGGGATAGATAGATAAAAGTTGCAAGACCGTATACAATTTTCCCACTAAAGATCTCAGCATGGATTCTCAGCATGTAATTACCCTTACATTTTAAGATTCGATTAATTAAACGGACCATAGTCGTAATTTCATTGACTTCTTAGCATGGAGGGTCACCTAAGTTCACGCTCTTAAAGGGACTGTTAAGGGAAAAATGAGAGGTAATTAAGGCTAAAAGTTAATCACTTTAGCTCTTAATCGCGACCCATGAAAGTTACATATGATGTTCCTGTCTCGAGAAATCATTATAAAATTGTGTCAAATATATACGAAAATTCATATATATATGCAGCATAACTCCTACCAATGAAAATGCAGTAAACTGGTCACGTGGCCTTGTCTGTATCACGTGACCAATATACTGCACTACCATTGGTGGGAGTTTTGATGACGTCATACGGACTTATAAATAATATTTATTATCAATTATAGCTATTAAAAATAAAAATAAAATTATAAAATAATAATTGGAGAAAACCTAAGTTTCTCTGGGATATATTCCTTTCAGATTGGTTGCGTATGTGCTGAATATGATCTGTTTAAACCTGCCATTTCTATACAAAAATGTATTTATATGAATTTTCGTATTAATTTGACATAGCTTTATATCAATATCTCGAGACAGGAAAATCAAATACAACTTTCATGGGTTGCGATCAGCTTTCAGTCTAGACCCCCTTTCATTTCTCCTTTACAGTCCCTTTAAGCTAGAAATCTCCAAATGAAAAGAACTGAGGAGTGCTAAAAAATCTGGATCCGGATCAAGTAAATCCTAAACATTTATGCTCCTAAGATCTAAATCCCTAAAACAATCATGTGATCTACGAAAATCAATAAGTAAAAACAAACTTTTGCTTTCGCCGAGAAATTCTTTGAAATGAAAGAAATAATTATTAATTATATCCAGATCCTTTTTTCAAGACAGAGGATTTTCTATCCGGATTCGTTTATAAAAAGTTTTAACCCAAACTCAAGCCACTGACCTTCTATTTTAATTGTTGTGCATAAGTCTATAAAAAAGAATAGAGCGGGACAAACGAGAAAAATCTCGATTTAAATTTACCAGTAGATATTTTAAATCAAAAAAATCATGGAGATAAACCCTAGACTCTCAAGACATATTGTATTGTCGAATCATGGAGATAAACCTAGACTCTCAAGACATATTGTATTGTCGAATCATAGAGATAAACCTAGACTCTCAAGACATATTGTATTGTCGAATCATAGAGATAAACCTAGACTCTCAAGACATATTGTATTGTCGAATCATAGAGATAAACCTAGACTCTCAAGACATATTGTATTGTCGAATCATAGAGATAAACCTAGANCATTCCCCCCCTCCCCCACCCCTTGAAGACAACTGAATCCTGGATATTAAATAAACAACTGAATCCTAGATAATAGGTAGACAACTGAATCCTAGATAATAGGTAGACAACTGAATCCTAGATAGTAAATAGACAACTGAATTCTAGATAATAGGTAGATAACTGAATCCTAGATAAAAGGTAGACAACTGAATACTAGATAATAGGTAGACAACTGAATACTAGATAGTAAATAGACAACTGAATTCTAGATAATAGGTAGACAACTGAATCCTAGATAATAGGTAGACAACTGAATACTAGATAGTAAATAAACTACTGAATTTTAGATAATAGGTAGACAACTGAATCCTAGATAATAGGTAGACAACTGAATCCTAGATAGTAAATAGACAACTGAATTTTTGATAATAGGTAGACAGCTGAATCCGAAATAGTGGGTAGACAACTGAATCCTCGATAGTGCGTAGACAACTGAATCCTAGATAGTGGGTAGACAACTGAATCCTAGATAGTGGGTAGACTACTAAATTCTTGATAAAGGGTTACGACTGAATCTGAGGTATAGTAGATAATCATCTGGGTAATTTCCTAGAAAACGATTTTTAAAAATTAAACTAAATTTTCATTGTTAGACTAAAAAAGATTAATTTAAGTTTAAATAAAGAAGAATTATTTAATATTTAAAAAACCTGGAAAAGTCACGTTCAGAAGTAGTGTATGTTAAATATTCCGTTGACTCACCGTAATAAACCTTCAGCTAACGTTGCATTGTGAAACTTTAAAATTGAACACTGAACTGTCAGAGTATATCACTTTTAGGAGGAATAAAAAAAGTTGAATCTCAATCAACATAATCTAAAATTAACTATTGCACAAAAATCCGTGATTATTTAGCCGCGCAAACTGAGCGCAGGCCGAAAAATTTTATTTAAGGGGTTAATTATCTAACTTCACCTCCACCGAGTCCCATGAGTATATTTCAACTTGAATGGCTAGGCAGATTAAAAAAAAAAACGGTGTAAGTACTAAAATTTTCACTATGAGGTCAATAACAGTATGATGTTGTTGAGTACTAATGTGCGGTGTGCGCTGTAGTGCCCACTGCAGGAGGTTTGGCAATACTGTAACGAACCGAACCAACCAACACACACACCTAGGGGTGGTAAGTACATGTAGACAAATATTTTTAATATTTCGAAATTATCAAAAATGATTAAAAAATAGCATTAAAACATTTTAGTTCTTTTTATACAAAATAAAAGTTCTCCCCATTCGCACTTAGACTGGAACCGGTTTAGAAAAGCACAAGGTCGATGTAAACATTTGCTAACGACTGTATACAATATACATAGAATACATCTATACTCATTACTAAGAGAGAGTACAAATGTACTCTCGAGATTTTGTCCTCTGCAACCACAGTTCGTAAAGCTAGGACGATAAACATTGAATTTCTTCATATTAGCGCCACTTACGCAAGTCGATTTTATAACTTCAAAATTGTATAGTTAATTCGTCCTTTTCCTTCTTAAAATGAGGGTTAAATTGTTTACTGAAATTTTATACATTGAACTTGGACATTTTTATGTCTATAACTGCATAGAAAGCTGGGGATGGGAGGGAAACATTGAACATTATAAAAACATATATAAAGACAAATAAATAAAACAAATAAAAATAACCAATGATTTATAATTGCAGATATTAAGAATGGGGAACTTGATGGGCAAAGCTATGGATTCAAACATGGAGAAAAATCAGAAATTTATGTTGGAAATGAATAGGTAATTGATTGATAATGCATAAGTGTATAATGTTCGTTAATAATTTCCTAGAAAACGGTTTTTAAAAAATCGTATACTAGGACGGGCTCGGTAAACGTACACTGTAATATACACTCTGCCATTGTTTATGCTCTTTGTTTTATTAGCGCTTGTCGCTTCTTGATATTCTATATTATTTTTTTACTCTATGTGTAATAAATACAGGGGCATGATCCCACAGTTATACCTAGATTAAATAAGTTGTACATTGTCTGTAAATATCCCATAGTTATACCTAGATTAATAATGTTGTACGTTGTCTGTAAATCTAAATGCACTTCTCAGTAACTTGTATTGTGATTAACCTAACCTAAATACGTCCATAAGTAACTATGTTGAACCTATATGTGATTAGCTTAACTAGGTTTGTATATTACGACACAAAACTTGTAATTAGGCCTATTAAACTTAATCTGTAACCTAGACCCTAAAATCACTCAGTTGGTATTAGACTCTGCTTTGATTACAGTGTGATAATAATTGTTTCTTGGTTTGCGAACGAGAAGCGCCCTGAATCATTCTCTTGAAATATAGAAAACTGGATTTGGATAGAAATTGATAGTATCTGTGGGACAGATGCCTGAGAATACAGACTAAGCTGTATCCGGATTGATATTGGCTATGGTATTCATGTGAACCTTGAGTTCCTGATTGAGTTATATCTGTGGGACAAGGGAGGGAGTCCAGAGTTCCTCAAATAGTAATCACCGCCACCCAAATCTGTTTAGCGGCAAGCGCGCTCCTCAATTGGTAATCTCCACCACCTCAAAATGGACAGTAAATAATCATCTGTTTACATATATTTTCTTTGCCTAATTTAAAATCCATGATTATCTGTTAACATGCATACTCTGTGTTTAATAAACAATCCATGATCACCTGTTAACATTCATAATCTATGTTTAACGAGCAATCACTAATCATTTGTTATCTTTCGCAATCTGTGTGTATGGAATAATTCTTGTTCATCTGTTTTCATCCACATGCTCTTTGTTTAATTACCAATCCATGATCATCTGTTAACATGCATACTCTGTGTATAATGTACAATCAATGTAAACTTAACATGCATATTTTCTATGTTAAAAGAACAATCTATGCTCATTTGTAAACATGCATGCTCTCTGTTTCAACAATCCATGTTAATCTGTAAACCTACATACTCTGTGTTTAAAGGACAATGCTAGAGAGACAGATCCACATGCAAAACCAAATGAGAGAAAGAATGGTTGCTTCTCAGGTCAGGTGTAAAAAGTGTATATTTTCACTAAAAATCCTCCTCCCCCCCCCCCACTCCACTCCCTTTTGAAAATAAATTATTTCTAGGTGAAAATAAATGAATTTTTGGATAAAAATGATTTAAAATAATAAAAAACTTGCCCTTTTATGTCCATTTTTTGGGTTGTATATTTTCCAAAAGAGAAGACGACGTATTTTCTGAGAAAGATAAGACGACATATTTTGTGATAAAAAGCAGACAAAATATTTTCTTTTTTGAAGAAAACCTCCTATATTTAGATTGCTGGGGCTCGGGAGATGTTTGTCTGGCTGGGATCCTTTTATGCTATTGCAGGAACAGCTATGCTTGCAGCATTTTTTAGGTCTAACTTTATCTTTCATTCTTTATATCTATCTATCTATTATGTCTTTCCATCTATATGTCTATCTATCTTTCTTTTTTTATTATTACATGTTTAATCTAATCTATTTTAGACATTTCTATTTTTAAGCTTTCTTTAAACCATGAAATATTTCTAGAACTAAAAAGCCTGCAACTATAGCACCTCTTCTTCCTTTAACTTTTGTTGTTGGTTATCAGGTATTTCAGATTTAGGGTGTTAACTTTATAGGGACCGTTCATTATTTTCTTGATTCTTTTTTGTTGCATTTTTCTTCAGAAGAACTCATATTCGAAATAAATTAGCTTTGCTAACATTTTTCTAACAGTTTTAAAAGTTTTATCAAATAAACATGAGATGGAGGAAATACGTTAAACCTTTCTCTGTTTTCATAAAATTCGTATTTTTTGGTCAAACTTGATATTTCCTTTACTACCATTTCTCTTTATTTACCCATGGCTACAGTTCAGGACTGGAGCGCGTATCTTTAATTGAATATTATTCCCCTTCTTTTATAACAATTTTTTACACCCGGATGTTAGGTATGTTGGCGCCAACTCCCTTTAATTTAATTAGGAGATCGGGGGAAACAATAAGTATATTAAGTCATGTAAACTCTATAATTTTGTTCAAGCTGTTTCAATTATAATTTAGTCAACTCCTAGATACATTTATTAAGGATTGATTATATTTAATCACGGATTCGTGATTTGTGGATTTTTGCTTCAGGGACAATGAAGGAAGTTGTCATAATTTAAAAGGTTTTTAGAATTTAATATCATTACTTCTCAGATAAGGGTATTGTTGTGAATCGGACATGCGACGCTTTTTTAAAGGGAGGGTCACTTCAAATTACGTAGACATTCCCTTTAAATGATGAAAATTATTTATTTCTAGGCTGATTTTGCTTACGGTAGCAAGATGAATCGAATTAAGGTATTATAATTAATAAGTTGAGTAAGATAAATTATCATTAAAAAAGATAAATGACCCTCCAAAAATAAGATAAATTATCATTAAAAAAGATAAATGACCCTCCAAAAAGAAGATAAATTATCATTAAAAAAGATAAATGACCCTCCAAAAAGAAGATAAATTATCATTAAAAAAGATATATGACCCTCCAAAAAGAAGATAAATTATCATTAAAAAAGATATATGACCCTCCAAAAAGAAGATAAATTATCATTAAAAAAGATATATGACCCTCCAAAAAGAAGATAAATTATCATTAAAATGGATAAATGACCCTCAAAAAGAAGATAAATTATCATTAAAATAAATAAATGACCCTCCAAAAAGAAGATAAATTATCATTAAAAAAGATATATGACCCTCCAAAAAGAAGATAAATTATCATTAAAAAAGTTATATGACCCTCCAAAAAGAAGATAAATTATCATTAAAAAAGATAAATGACCCTCCAAAAAGAAGATAAATTATCATTAAAATAGATAAATGACCCTCCAAAAAGAAGATCTTCCGAAACAAATAAATATAGAATAATATAAATCAAAATGGTCATTCAAAATATGACGGGTGTAAATTTTCTCGCCCCCCTTCCTCTTTGAAAATTGTTTTTCTTCTACAAGTTAAATAAGTTTTTTTTTGTTAAATGCGGTAAAATTTACTGATTTTTACGGGAAAATAAATAAATTTTTTAATGCACTTGCAATCAAAATAAATGAAAAACTTGCCTTTTGATGTTCAATTTTCTTTCTTTTTTATCAAACTGTTAAACTTAAACATAAACATAGAAGTTAAGAAAAGCTGTCAATAAATTGTAAACTTGTAATTCGAAAAAAGTTTGTTAACAATCAAAACTTAAATAAAAATTCGTCTTTATTGTATTCATATAATCGCCTACTACTGTAGAATACAAAATATATTGATATAATCGCCTACTACTGTAGAATATAAAATATATTGATATAATCGCCTACTACTGTAGAATACAAAATATATTGATATAATCGCCTACTACTGTAGAATATAAAATATATCGATATAACTTGTTTATTTTAGGCCGAAGCTGAAAATATTATTCAATTTGAAAGAGATATAATTGAAATACCTTCAGGTTAGTTAAAGGGACTAAAAACGGTGGCATGCTCTTTTTACAATGATACCCTGGAAACCTTAATCTGAAAATCAACAAAAACATGGATATCTAATTCATACTTGATCGGACAAAGCGTTTATGGTTACCTTGTGAATCGGAAAAGTAGGGTCACTTAAAATTTGGTTTGTTTGTGTCCAATAATCGTCATAACGGTTGACCCGATTGGGCCCAAATTTTGTTTGGGACTGTACATGACCTCAGGGAAGGTTTATGCAGGCTTAGAGTTATTAAAAGTTGTCCCCAAAAATTTTTGATTTTCGTAAGAAAAAAATTATAAATCAGCAAAAACAATTTTTTATCTTAGAGAAAATGCTGAAAGAATCAAGATTGAAATAGAATATTGGCGCGAAGCGCCAAAAAGCCTTAAATTGTAAACTTCCCAAGTTAAGTACATCTGCTATTGTCGCAAATGCAATACTGACTTATTAAATACTTATTGAGTGAGATTGGTCTATTTACAATGCAAAATTAGTGTTTCTTATGTACATTGGACAGTAATTCAAAGTCATAACTTGTTATAAAGTCGTCTTCACGTTTAAATCATCGAGGAAAATTTTTTAAATCGTATTACCAAGGTGAAATGTTGGATGTGCTTCAGCCTTGCCACTGGGCTGCTATACAGTATTCATGAATTATTTTATTGCAAAGTTTTTTATTTTACTTTATTTTCAAAGCTAAATATGTTTGCATATTAACATGTTTCACTTTTATTCTATCCTATTATAAAGCTTGGTAACTAACCACCACTACCCTAGGATGATCATTTTAGGTATTATATCCAACAGTTCAAAGAAGGTTTTTTTTGGAGAATTTTTCTTGCCTGGTTCATTGGATCCATAATTTACCAGATTCTTAATTCAAAATAGAACTGGGATGTATATGTATAGCAGTAACCCGTCCATAGGCTGATGATGAAGGATTCTTCTAAGGCCTTCTACAAAAGTAGAACCTAACCATTTCAAAATATTTTGAATTTTATATAGTTTAACCAAGGAGACATCGAAAAAATGTATAAAATGGCGTTTTCTAAACCTACTAATAATGGAATGCTGCAGATATTTTGGTTTTAAATTGAATTATCATATGGAACTCTTAAAAATTGGTAAGACGACATTTTATTAATTTAAAATTGGTAAGACGACATTTTATTAATTATTTCGATGACCTAGAAGTTCTGAGTTAAATTATATTTCTGTTTATTTAGGTTTACCCACAGTGTCAAGTATAGATTCAGCAAGAATTCAACTTCAGGTTTTA